GACAAAACTTGAAACTTGCCCGCTTACTGAGAGGTCTGTTACAGAATGACAGAGGAAAACGAACGCTAGTTACATTTTGACTTGAGGTACCATGTTATTGCAAAGCTTATAATGAAGCCAACAAATTGCTGATGTAGCGACAAAAATCACAGCTTGTGTCAGACAGATATGTTTCAGTGTTGTATGTAATGTTTAGAATAGAAAACATTGTCTGGTAAAACATTTTGCTTTCTTGAAAAACTTTTGCCATAATTAATTTAATTTTCGCTTGCCACTTACTGTTTTTATTACAAGCTGCTGATTGGTCGAAACCAACTTTCTTGAATGTGTATTGTTGTCCTGTAATACGCATTGGACAACTTGTCTATGGCCCGGTTACAGTAGTCTCATTTGTAATGAGCTTGCAGGTCGATATCATTCAGAGATTGATACTTCAAACAAACTTGATAAAAAAGCACTGAAACTGTCCTACCAGCTTAATTACACGCAAGAAAAGACAATGCAATCCTAGCTAGACCTGAGTCACTGAGTCGCCTGCTATGCGGGAGGGGGTAGGGGAAGCAGAGCCTTTTTAAGCAATTAAACACATTCTACTCAAATGATTCAGTTAAATTAATTGATCATTCACAACAGGGTAACAATTTTACAGAGACTAACTGGTGCCAGACTAATTGAACGTCCTTGACAGAGTATGGGATGGTTGGAGCATGGTTAGAAGGAGGAGTCAATAGAGAGGGCAGGGGTTTCATTAAGCATTGAGATCGGATAATTCTCAGTCTACTAAAAAATGCATAATTCTAAGGCTATATTTCAATGAAGTATGGTTATGTTACTCAGACAACCGGACGGGATACGTTATGTAAAAAAAAAAGAAAATGATTATTCCCAGAAAATGTGTAATTTTAGTTCTTATCCACTTGTTTTACATTCCAAATAAATAACAAATACAAAAGAGACCTTTATTTCAATTCTAGCAGTTAAGCCCAACAAAACTAACAGGGATGTGTAAAATATTAGCGCTAGCTGAGCATGGAAAGTCGACTGTACACTTGATGCTTTTTTTAATTCACTTGGCGAAAATTATTAAAACTAATGAATACTAATAAGGGCAAAACGTGAAACAAAAAAAAAGTACATGATGAACAAAATTAATCATAGTGGCAAAAGTTACGACAAGAAAAATTTAGCTAAAAGAATCAAGTACCTTTATGAATAAAAAGAATGATTTCTAGAACTGTTATGGAAACAATTCTGCGATGTTCGTGATATAAAATGACAGAGTATCAAATTACTATGAAGCAAATGCAAATTTTGAGATTTTCTATTTTTAACAATGACTTCTAAAATGGCACATTATAAATTGTAAACTGCAGAGGAAACAAAGAAGATTCCATTGATATTTGATAAATCTCATTACACCAAACACGAAAGTTTTGTGCTGAGAGCAAAATTTAATTGTTTAAATGTGTTACGCCTAGAGTAAAGCACATTTCTCGCCAACAGAGGCGGAAAAAGTTTCTCTGGCTTCCCAGGTAAAAGTCATCCCAGATCCCGCTAATCCCACCTGGGACCTGGGGATTAGCTGATCCCGCCTAATGGCGGATCCCGCATTCCCACCTGGGATTAAAAATTAATCCCACCTGGATCCCGCCTAAAACACGGGATTATCACATCCCACCTGCAGGATCCTGGTGATCCACATCCCACCGGGATCCTGGGTGGGATTCACATATCCTACCTGGGATCACACATTGTCACCCAGGATCTTTACATACATCCCACCTGGGAACATTGGGATAATTTCACATGTACGATCCCACCTGGGATTTTTAGAAGATTTATTCATACTTGCAAAAGTTAAGTCAAACTTAATTAAGAAGACTTTTAACAGCCATGTAGGTTATATAATTATGTGTTAAACATATCTTAGCAAGCAGTCTAATTAACTTATTATTCTACATTTCTGCATGTGGAGTTAAAAATACGGCTGGAATTTATCGTCTTCCTGTACCCAATTTAATTTCAAAGGACAATTAACTTATTGTATTAAATTACAAATGTTTTTTATAAGCAGAAAATGACACCATCGTTCATAAATTGTCCTGTACATACATGTAAAATGACTTTCAACAAAACAATATTTATTTTATACAAACACACAAAAAAGCATACTTCCAACGTAAAAAGCAGTGTTTAAAACTAAGAAACTTAAAAATCATTTACTACAATTTTTTTGTGCTTGCAGATAGTTTCTTAGTGAGAAGATTTTTGTAAAGCATTAATGAATCGCTACATCCATCATTCCTGACTTAACTTTCCTTTCTAGCTTTTCCCTAGAGTTTCTTTACTTGAAATGATACCTCCATGCATCATTTTCTTCTTTTATATTAGCTTCGATCCTTCGTCTTGATTATGGACGACTCCTGAATAGAAATTCATGGTCAAAACTGCGAAACGCTAGCTGCAGTCCTTGGTGTTTGTCCGCCATTTTGTTTCCACTAGTTCCCAGGGAAGCCCGTGAGTTCAACACATGCGTATTCAGCGTTTTATCGTCACATGGGCCTTTTCAACCAATGAAAAGGTGTGAAAATTGGCTGATTCCATGCGGGCACTTTCAAGTCAAAGAAGACGAACTGTAAAGCATGCGTCTTTACAAGAAGACGCTTCTTTTTACTTCAATTTAAAGTCGTTTTCCTGCCAGGTTCAACAAAAAGTATTCCTAACGTTGGTAAGTGATGTTTTCTCAACTTGAGTTTCGATTTACCCGTGTTGTCTCCCCTTTTTCGCGGCATCTACCTGAACAAGTTGGATCGGTCACCTTGATCACGCTTCGATACTGCTCGTTTCAATTCTAAAACGTCAGGTTGTTTTTGTGTTCATTTGCCTTAAAATCTCAACTTTTCTGTTTGCAGATACTTATTCGTTGCAGTCAAAAGAAAAGTGTATGGCACTGAAGAGCACGACATCAGCCAAAAGTCTACGATAAGCAAATTAAGCAAACTTTAACTTGGGGTTTCGAATGAAACTTCTCCATGAAAATACTGCATTTGTGTTGTTGTCGTTTTTTTTCAAAAGATTTAATCACATATTTGAATGTTCTGCAATGACTGAATATTGTATATGTAGACTTATTAAAGTTGCATTTTATTCAAGACTTACATGTATATTAACTCTATTTTCCTAATAAATTTGCAGATTAAGTTAAAAATATGGTGCAGAAGTTATATGTCTTCAAATCCCTCTACGATAAATATCAATTTCCTGTGTATGACAGGGTGGGATAGCAGGATCTCATCAATTTAACAACCTGCATTCGATGCTGCCAGGAAAGGTAGGATATCCCATCTGATATCACAGGTGGGATATCTTTGATCCCACCCGATTTCAGGCGGGATCCTGGGTGGGATTGGCGGGATTTTTACAAATCCCAGGTGGGATGGTTTCTTGGACCCCACCCAGGATTTCAGGTGGGATCCCAGGTGGGATTGGTGGGATCCTAGTTGGAATCCCAGATGGGATGCCTCCCGGGACGTTCCATAATCCCAGGCGGGATCCCAGGAGGATCCCGCCTATTTCTGGGGGATCCCACCTGGGATTAACCTGGGATCCCAGGTGGGATTGGCGGGATCCGCCTCACATTTTTACCTGGGTTGTGCTTTCACTATTGAAAACATCTTTAAAATATTGAATTGAAGTAAAAGTGTACTGAGAATTATTTTATTTCCACTCTTTGGTATGTTTGGTATTTAATAAGATAGAGCCACATGTCACAACTCTAGGAGTGTGTAACAGGGTTAGAAGTCGATCATAATTTAACAATATGCCCATTAATTCGAAAGAAAAAATGTTTTTAAACAATGTAGATGTATACAGTGTTTCTATTCCCCGAAAGGAGCCAAGAGAAATAAAATTTGCTATCAGACAGTAGGAAAGTAGTCAGACTGACAGTAGCCATCTCAGATATTACAGATATTATTCGAGGAAATATGGTATGTTCTGTTTACCTGGCGTAAAAGGATCTTCAATGCACAGGAGAGCGGGTTGATTATACACATCATTCATACCAAGCATAACCTAAATGACAAAGAACCGAGAAATAAAATTAATTGTTACAGAAAAAGTGGGTTTGTTGCAGTGTCTGAAGGGTTGAATAAAAGAAATGGCTGTTACTCCCTCACAAACCCTACAGAGTATTATTAAAGGAATTTCATCATCACCATCATCATCAACACTATTTAAAAAGGTGTGAGTTCCTGTCGAACAAAGGACACAAACTAAATAATATTGAATGCAGACCTTGCCCACCTACATGTTTTGATAGGGATGGGTACAGTGTGGTATTTAACAGTAGTATTAAAGAAAATAGTATTTTATAGCCATAAAATATTTTATTTTGCTTATTCACCTCATGCTTGCAAAAGTACGTGCCACCATCTTTGACTCTGATTCCAACATTTGTATAGTTAAAATGTTTACCATATAGTTCAAAGAATTCAATCAAAAAGCACTCCAAGATTTTTTTGAAGGAGGTGTTCTACGGTGCTGTGTGAAAAACGTGAAAAAAAGTTAGAGGAAAATATTTATTTTGGAAAATTATCATTTAGTAAATGTCAACAGCAAGAATATTTTAACATTTAAATCCTTGCTTCCTTCCTTTCTCCCATATCAACATGAAAATGCATAAACAAAAGTCAGGGCATAGGCAGGGTTCCACTGTAAAAGTAAACCTACTGAGCAGCGTGCAAAGAAAGTCATGTCTGATAGCCAGTGGCTAAAGGAATTTGCACTCGGGCTACTGAATTCTGTTCTTAACTTACCTGATGGGCCAGTGAAGTTTTTTGGGGGAATACAAATTACAGAAGTAGTGTGAGACAAATATTGTTTAAATTCCTGAAAACTTCATGTGAATTGAAAGCTGTTTTTTGAGCTGATCTGGCAAAGTGAAATTATCTCTTTCATTACAGTCATTAAATAAAGCAAGTAACTGATTAATTAACAAAAATAAATTAATCATTAACATGTACGTCAAAAAATTCAGGTTAGTTACCACAGGGCTAGTACCTGCTACAATCCCTGACAAAACTTCTCGAGGAAGTTTTCCCCATCATGTCCACTTTCCTACGCAACAAAACTATTTCCAAAACGACGCCTTTGAGAAAAGAAAACCCCTTCCCCCAATTCAATGTTGCTTCCTACAAACGCCCAGGGATCAGGCTTTCTTTTGAATACACAACACTACTTTCAGGGGAAGGGGGAGAGGGAAGAACCAGTACAGCTACAACGTCTAGAAAAATGCTTCCCAAGTATACAATTTTCTCAACAGTTTTGTCCAAGATTGGAGCTAAAGCTTGCCCATCGAGCAGGCTGTAAACCTGACTTTCATTTAACCCTGTATTGAACACATTTGGGAATCACAAATCACGCACCTGCAGGAAGCTGATAGTCATCAAGATAAGGCAGTATGAGCTGATCCCACCAGTAAATACTTCATTAAGGTCACGCTGAAGTAAGAATTGCTTTAGGACAAGCACCAAGGGTTCAAGGCAAGGGAAAATTTCTATCTGATCCTGTGTAATTGAAAAACAGAACCAGTCAACCACTTGGGGTTTTTGCTGAGATTGGGCTCAAAATTAAAAAAGTTTCTCAGGTCGCCTTTTGGCCACAAACTGGAGAGATATAGTTGCCAGATGCAAATTTTCAGTCGCCAGTTTATATAATGTAAATGATGCAGCTCATAGTATGGCACGATCCATCATATTTGATTGTTTGAAAATATCACAGAAGTCGACATAAATTTGGAGGTAAACTGGCTTTGTTTATGCGACTTGGCACATTTTTTGTGATGAAAGCAAAGCAAGATAAGATAAAATGTTTGTTTTAACTTAACTCTTTTAATTTAAATCTAAATCATAAAGAAATCTGGTTACCGAAGTGGCGACTAAACCAGAATTTTTAGGAGAAAATGTTTGTCGCATTGGAGACCGTATCAGTCGCAATTTCGAGTCCTGTGAGACAGGATATAAAGTCTGGATGTTTTCGTTGTGTTGTTCAGTACCATTCAATGTGAGCTATTGTTACATTCTTATTGCATTTAGTCAAGGACGCACATTACCCCAGTTACTCAAGATTAACAGAATGAGCAATAATTAAGATGTGTGTTAACACCTCATACCAACGTGCCTATAAAACTGCTTTTGCAGTCTCGGGAATTCAGGAACTTTGACAAAAAACAATTTATTTCCAGAAGTGGGGTTTGCCTTGCAAACCCTCTTCTAGGTGACATGAGCAAAAAAATCATGTTCAGTGATATTCAGGATAAAGCCTTTAGTTTCAAATGACACCGAAAAACCCATTACCAGGGTAACCATTTCCTTCATGAGTCTTTCACAACTACATGTTGTTGAATAAGCTAGAAGCTGTTTTAAACACATTTTACATGTCTTTAAATATTTTACATACCCTAAAGATCAACTGACAAAATTATTTAATCTGTTAATTGTGCCCCTGTTTTTTTGTCACGGGATGATAGTGACATATTTTTTAAACGTGCCTTTAGGTTTGGATATACAAATAACTTTTAAAAAACGGGACTGCAAGTTATGGAAAACTATAACAGAGAATCCCTCACATCCCACGTTTTGAGCTGTTGCCCCCTTAAAGAAAGAGATGCTTGCGAGATCAAGGGCATAATTTTATTTTAGCTGCAGTCAAAATGGAGCGTTTTAAAAGATCTTTTATCAATAGATGTATCTTTCAATTGTCTGATTGTGATTGATTTTTAATTTTTAATTAGTTCGTACAACCATATTAATTTTGTAAAGCCACATGTATGTTGTGACTCTACTACTAATAAGGAACCATTTTAACAACCTAGCCTAACAGAAAATAAACAACATTTAAACTTTTTCTTTTAAAGCAAATCACGGACTAGCCAAGAATCCAGGTAATGAAACAAAAGGTAAGATTTATCAAAGAATATATTACTACAGTTATGAATTTTTTTTCCCAAAGAATTTTTTATATTCAAAACCCTTGGACAAAAACATGGATATATAGAAACAGAACAAGGAATAAAAGATTAAAATTCACATCACATAATAATAAATTAAAAATAAATTTTAGAAGAAAAAGTTTTTCTGTTAAACAGTAAATATGGCAAGCTTTTTGTTTAAAACTTTGTCATCAGCCATACACTACTGGGCAAATAATATCATTGCATCCTCAGACAAAGATGATGGAAAGCCATTCAAAACGGTTTACCTTTATGAAGTCGGCTGCTTTTAACCCAGCTGGGACATTGAAGCTTATGTCCACTTTCACACTGGTTTTCTGGTCTGTCATTTTGATTATAGGCACCTGAATAAAGAAAATGTTAAAAACAGTCACGATTGTTATTAAAGATATCAGATGTTTTGGCTTTTATATTTACTGCTACCATATAAAGAAACTGTAACAGACCTTAAAAATGCAAAATATTGACACAAGGTATGACTTTTTTGCATGCATTATGTTACATCATTTTGATAGACATCACCAGGGCTATGTGTTAGCTCCAACAAGCCCCCTGGAATAGTGCAATATTTTGGACTATCACATGAAAGGCATCTTTGTCAATCACATGATAGACAAAATTATAACTCTGCCACTTTCAGTGTTAAACCCTAAACTCAGTAAATATCATGATTATCACAAGAAAAGTCTCAAATGATCAGCATCACAAGGCTTAGCCAACACACTCAAAGTTTAGAACTACATGTACAATAGAAATTTTGAAGTTCTCTCAATAGAAACAAGATAGCTCTGGAATTACCCACCTTGACAACGACCACTTGAACTTTTCACTTAAAAAATCATCTTCAGTTATATATTTACTATATTAACTATATTATATTGAAAAAATATTTTGTAATTGTCCAGGGTGATGTATAGTGGCCAAAAATGGTTTAGCAACAAGCCCACCAACTCTTATGTACAGGTGAAGACTTTTTGCAGCAAATGCACCATTTGAAGCAAGCCAGTTGTCAAATCAAAACAGTTAACCCCCTCTAAGACAAACACCACAACACCAACTGTATATCACCCCTTGCCTTATAACCATGGCTGAATAAGTGAATAATTGCCTGAATAAAGTTCACATGCAAAGTGGGTGACTGTTCACTGGTATTCAATGGAAAACCTTTTCAAATTCTTGCAAGAAATTTTTGTTCATAGACAGCACATCACTTTTACATTCTCAGATTTTTTTCCTATAAAGGAAATGCTTCTTTATGTCAAAAACAAAACACAGATACGCAGCAAAGTATAAAAATAGGTGAGATGTAATGCTCTGCTAGCAGTCAGTTACTTTGCACATGACTGGTAGGAAAAAATGCAAAGTTGTGCTCCGAGAAAAATTACAGGGAGCCCAGTGCTCGAACACTGTGATTTCCAGGCTGCTCAGCATAATTGACAATTTGCAATGCCACCAATAGTTTCCCTGAAAAACTATGCCTAAGGAACAAGTGCAGAAATTCCATGCTGAAAATTAAAAATTGGCTGCAGCCAATCAGAAGCACTACCAATGATATTAATAGGTAATCAAATGGTATACTCGTGAAAGTAGGGAATAGTTTTGCTCTTCATCACTTTACACATACATATTTTTTTATTTAAAAAAGTTATAGTTTTTGGTTAAGCCATTCTGGTTCTATATAATATTTAGAAATTATACTTCAAAAGGTCTTTGTGCACAGATTATGGAACACCTATCCTCGTAATAACACTGGACTGAATGTCATATCAATACCTGTTGCGGATAAAATTGAAACCAGAATTTCCTATTTCTGCTATAAATAATTAGGGCCGAGAAATTAAGGAAATTCTGTATCAAACTAGGCTGAATACTACTTTAGCCTGAAAAGGGATTTTACCTAAGACATATCCGCTACATTTACCAAACTGCATGTATGAATCCTTTATTTGGGCTGAAGAATCTAAAAATTTAACAAGTTTCAACTGATGCCGAAAGTCGTGTAAATATTATTTTACTTAAAATTTTCTGAAATATTCACAGTTCCACTTGATACAATTAATGCAAATTATGACACTACATAACTGACATGAACAAAAACCACGAACCATTTAGGTACTTTCAAAAGCCCCCAAACAACCCCAACTACAGCTGTATATCCTTCATGAGTGGCAAAATATGGAATAATTTAACATTATGACAAAAAATAACAGAAATGATGTTCTTTTATCATTGTGAGAGTACATTAAGTCCTTCAACATGGCACACCCACACAAAAATCTTGCGCTGAAATCTTGTAGTTGAAATTTTTGAGGCACTACATGTAGACGACAGACAAAGTATTATACATAACGCCCCAGGCAAAAAAAATAAGAGTCTGAAAACAAAGGTCATAAATATTCAAATTTCACTAAGGGACGAACCCGCATTGAATTTGCATACCGAAATAAGTAGGATCATACAAAATACGTGAATATTCAACAAGTATTTTCCCGTGCGATGTTAACTATTTTGTGATTTATATAGCGTTGTCACTTCCTACAGATTTGTTATTCGCGAAGGAAAAAGCTTGTGACACCTTTCCTGAGTGACAAAAACAGCTCTCCTTCGAAAAACATTAGCAGAAAAGAAGCTTTTGTGCATCTTTAATACATAACAGGCTTTCAGAGAGTCGGGGTAATTTAACCTCATTTATTCTGTATTTTATTAGTGAGTATTAAGCTTGTATATAAGCTTATCATCACGAGTTGTCGCGATATTTGTGTTCATAATACAAATATACAATAAAAGAAAAAAACTAGTCTCACCGATGCTTTATCCAAGACCTTGATCGACGAAACCTCCGCAATTTTGTTCGCAGTCAGCGCCTGTTCAAGCGTCCATAGAGGCAATCTCTCCCATTTGCCAAAGACGACAATATCGATGTCACTAATAAGAAGCAACGGATTTTAAATGAATAACAACTACTTACAATTGGGTACTGTGACATCAGAACTATTTGAAACTGCTTATGTTCAAAATAGAGATATCCTCCGGGGGTTTCAAGTTGCATAATGTTTACGCGAAAACCTTGTTTCTGCTCACCACAAACGATTTATTGAAAAGATACAGTACATGTTTTGCTTTTCATTTAAACGGTTGTAGAGTGATATCCATTCACTACTCGATAATCTTTATTAGATCCATTTCACACTGGCGATAGCAGGACCCATGCGAGGAAAATCTAAAATAGGGCACAAAACGTTACAGATCATAAACACCTTTTATTTCGACTCACAAAAAGTTGCTACTTGCTCTCACCTGGTTGGTAAATAGAGGCCCGTTCGGAAGCTTCCGTAGACCTCCACCTGAAATAATTTGATAAAAACAAAACCTCGTCATTTCCCATACTTGTTACACCATTCAGCAAACTTACTTTGAATTTATGACAAAAAAACTGAGCAAATTATGTGAATTTTCCCTACGTACTTCAGCTGTAGGCCAGAGTTGTTTGATGACTTCTTGAACTCTCGATATTACTTCTTGTCGCATCCTATGTTCTGCAGGACGAGGTTTCATAAAATTATGAAAGTCCAGAATTTCCTCATGAAGCCTTAATAAAACGAAAGAATAACTTATTAGCTTTCAATTGTGAGGGTTGTCACTTCTTCGTTGTAAGAATTCTCGCTGAAATGACCTGAATGGCGACTTACCCAACTGGGCCGTCTGGATAGCTTTTTTCCTTGGACCACCACGGGGTTCGATTTTCAACTTTTTCTTCTTACTAACATGACTTTTTGTCTGCGTTTATCAAGTTGTTTAACGCGGTAGTCTCCTTTGCGTCACTAAAAGTATTTTTATGATTCAGAGGGATATAGTCCGGCCTTCCAGCACGAAGATTTTCCAAATTCGTTGATGGTGAAGTGACATCCTGAATCATTATGTCGCTCCATGTTGTATATGCTGGACCCTTTTGTTCCGGTTGAATCCAGCCAATTCTAGGATCCATCATTAGTGGCAACATCGATTCTTCAATTTACTAACAGCGGTTCCTTTTCCCGACTCCTTTCAATAGTAACACAGTCAGTTATAAGACCAAGCCGTCTTCTCAGTTTCCTTCCTCCCACCAGTGCAAGAAAGGTTGCATAATTATGCGCATGTCATTTACTCTTGACCAATCAGTATGCAGGGTCAAGTTGGCGTCCGCGAGCTCTCAAAAAGACTGCCAGCGAACTTCCATAAAAAGCCATAATTTTTACGCTTCAATCAGTCGTTTCAATGAAAGGCCCTTGACGTACTCGAAAAATGTATTTATTCAAACCTCCAAAGCGTGATTGAATGCATGAGTGAAGAATTCAGTTACAATATTCTCCAGCGTTAGATAGCATGTTTCCACGACTTTTATTACTGAAAAGTACCCCACAAAACTCTGGGTGAAGAACCAAGTTCCCCTCAGAGACCCTAAAGAAGAACGATAGTTCCCCTTATTATTTATTTATTTATCTAGTTATTTTCCTTTGCCGTCAAATCAGCATTGCGTTTCTTTTTGTTTAATCGCCTAAAAATTCTATTTTTAAAACAATACGAGACCTGCTCGAGATTTGTATCTGCAGATACATGACAAGGGGTGAAGCCCTCAGAGTCCCCCGAGTCACATTTCGAAAATGCCGCCAGAAATAGAGGGTCGGAGCTGTCTAATAACTCGTGTTGTAGTACTCTTAAACTCTATGAGTCTGTTGCAAGTCAAAGATAACTATCGAAATGTTTTTTGACAAAAAATAAAAATTCCGACTCTTGTTACTTGACAACTGAATGGCCACTACGTCAGATATCCAGAATGCGGAATAAACGAAAAATACTTATTTATTTATTATTTATTACAATTTAATGGCAAACACTACAACGATAAGAACGAAAAATAAAAAAAGCCATAAGGATAATTTATAAACGAGTAGCCCGATCCCATGTAAAAACAAATCATCTTACAGCATATAGTAAAATTATAATAATGATATTTAAATAAAACTAAAATTATAATAAGATCCCACACACTAACAGCTGAAAATAAATAGCGAAAAACAGAAGTCAAATTCACAATTTTGAAATATTTTTCATAACGTTTGATTTAAAAATATCAACACTGCATGCCGAACGGACCTCAAGAGGCAAACTGTTACATTCGTCCACAATCCTATCAAGATAACTGTTTTAAAGTGAATCTGTCCTAGCAAATTTCTTTTTTAACGATTTAGTATCGAAGCGACTCAGCAGAGTTTTTCTAAAAATCGCGTTTATTATCTAAATTCAGGGGCACCCAACGTCAATTTTCGGAAAATATCCGTTCGGAAGACGATTTGAGATCTAGAATTTTCGGAACATTTGTTGTAAAATTTCTTGCTTGCCTGCCTCTCCTAGGATTCTGGAGCATCTAAAAAATGGTATAATTGCCCAATTTTAACGGATTTTTACCCTAAAAAAGGTCGCCTAGAATTTTCGGGATTCTTTTTTCTGGCTGAAATTTTCGAAAAGGTTAGTTTGCTCCCTATACTGAATTTTCGGATCACTAGGGGGGAGGCGAAAGAAAAAAAGGGGCATGATTATTACTAATTGTTCTATTGATCATCAATTTTAATCGTAACCCGTCAGTTTCTAGTTCCGCCGGTGAGGTCTTCTAAGGAAAGAGGAAGAACTGGAAGAGGGTATGAGAAAGGGGGTTTTCTTGAAACCAAACAAACAGACGTGGAACGAGGAAAGCCTGCATCTTCCCCATTTTTTTTTTTTTTGAGGCAAGCATGAGAAACATTTGTTTTTGATCAGTTCTAACATGGTACTATATACAATATCTGTTCTTATAAGTACTGGGTACAAAATTTAATTTGGGATTCAGTTCTTGACTGATTCTGGTTCTTTAACGAGTGAAAGATTTGTGTCCCCGGAACGTTTAAACTCAATCTACACAATGATCGAATTTATCTGTTTCACTTTCAATGCCTGCTAAAGATTGTTCGACTAATAGAGCACCTTGAATTTCGACTAATGTTGAATTAAAAATTCCGAAAATAGCCTAAACTGCCTCCTTTCTAAAACTTTTCATCACTTCCGTTAAGGGGCTTTCCAAGAAATGGAAGTCATAAGTTAAAAAAAAAAAAAACGTTTTTTGACTTGTTCCCCGATAACGGCTGATGTCATCCATGAAGACCTCGGCTTTATAAATATTTTTATTACAGAAAGGATTGGTTTCCTTTGAGAGTTTATTTAAGTGAGCTTGCATTTTTGTGGAACATCATTAGAGCGATGCCTGACAAAAGTTCTGTGACAACCGTCCGCCGCATTGATTGGGTTTATAAAGGTTCTTGCATTTTTTCGCATTTCAACTGTGGGTTTTTCTCTGTTAACTAGTGGAAAGTTTCAGCATGTCCCCCGGTGTTAGAATTAGAGATGAGTCTGGTACGGGGTCCGCACATATGAAAAAGGCGTGAAAGCTTTTCGTCTCGTTAAGAAGAAGAAGAAGAAGAAGAAGAAGAAGAAGAAGAAGAAGAAGAAGAAGAAGAAAGCAATTACAATGTTTTTTAACGCCATTAAAATTGTTATATAGCTCTTATTTGTCTTATTAGGCCTGTTTCAAACGTCGTGCTACTGCCGTGCTAAGCTGGCTGGACTGTAGCTCGACACTAGCACGACTTGGTTTCAGACGTCGAATTTAATTCAGTCGAATAGAACAGCTGTTGCCGAAAACAAAACACAATAATAAAGAAACGGTTCTGCAAACTTTCAAATGTATTCTAATGCATTTGTAATTTATAAATTGAGTTTGGCACGCCGGTAGCACGACGTTTGAAACCAAGTAGAGCTACTGCCTTGTAGCACGGCAAGGCTTGCCGTGCTACACGGCAGTAGCACGACTTGGTTTCAAACGTCGCGCCACTGCCGTGGTAAAGTCCGATTTAATTCGACCAATTGAGTTCGGCACGACAGCAGCACGACGTTTGACTGTCGCTTTTAGAATGATATCTAACCATATCTTTTACATGCTCTCATTTGGGGGTTATAACTCCCCCAACGTCGTCTGGTCCGTATAAAGGTGATTTATCTTACTACCAAACACAAGTGAAAGAAAGAAAATAAGTCCGGAAACTCTACGATCTGACAGTGCCGAACTTTCGATTCTGTATATGAATCTAAGCCTGATTTCCTAACAAGGCCCGCGAAATTTAACTTTAATTTACAACTGCCAGCACTTTTCTGAGTTGTACAAAAGTGGACGGAACGCCGTTTTCAGCCCTCTGCTTTCCAGGGAAAGAGATAGAAATGTTGGTTGGTATGTCTACGAATACTCGTGACACGACCTGAATGTTTGCGGTTTGTTTATATTAACTGCTGATCATAATTAGCTTTCACTGTGCATGTTTATCTTTCCTTTTGTGGTCCTGTTGCATAAAATTCCTTCATCATGATCTGTAATCAGCTGAAAATAGTTTTCCGGCGTTCACAATTAATTTCAGTTTTGCTCTTGAACAAGAGTTCTTCTCCGATCAAAATGTAGATTGCAAAGCTTATCATGATAAACCCTGAAATATGACTTGTGGGTTTTCTTCTACTGTATTTAACAACACAACCAGGTCATAAGGCTACAACGTTAAACAGAATCACGCACACATAACGTCTGTCTGTAAAGACAGAGCCTGTTTCCGTAATGTGGTCACCCATAGAATCTAGGGCTAGAGGAAGAGGAGAATATAGCCTGCGAAAACAGCCGTCTGTTCCCGCTCCTCGCCACTAAAACGAGGAGAAACGGCTGTTTTCGCAGGCTGGCTCTGGTTCGCATCCAACCACACAGTAACGGAAGACTGTGGAGCGATAACACGATTTCACTTGGACAACTTACCGGACGAAAATGTAAACATATTGTTCGAAAGGTCAAACGCAAACTATTTGCCTTCTCTGTCGCAGGATACAAAGCAAAGGCGCTTATTCGAGTACGAGAATGAATTGCAAATTTTCAACTTTAATGGATACTGGACGTTAATACAACAGACCAGCTGCAAATGTATGTTTCACACAGAAGAGGAAAAAACTTTCGACATTTCCTTGGCAAAAAGGGTAGTATTCACTTTGCAACATTGTATATACCACGTGACGCCTTGTCACGCACGGGCTAAGTAGAGTGAGCGTAACGCACATGTCACCCTCTTTCGAAGCAGACCCATCCTTACAGGTTTGCAACTCTGATTGCAAGTTGCCACGCCTTTTGTGCTGTTTTTTAACGCGACTTCTGACTATTATAAGGCGTAGTATCATCAGAACGCAAGTTTTCGCAAACTAACGAAGTTACACAATTTCTAAAAAGTCTAAATACATGTGAACCAACAGTTTCCTTTGATTTTCTACTCGGGTTTGCGGGTTTAAAATGTATATTTGACCAAGATCAGGAAGCTTTTAACCTGCCTGCATTGGGTTCCAACAAGGACGTGGGGACAAGGTTGGAAGTTTGGAATGACAAGATAGAGAGACTGTCAACAGGCCAGGATTGAAAACAAACAAACAAAAAACGGAAATAAACGAGAATCTTGGGCGAAAAGGATTCGGCGAGCCAAGAGAACGCGTTTACGAAAAAAGGACAGTTCTCGCTTTAGTATCCATCTTCTACAAAAATACTTGTGGAAATAAATTACTAGACGAATATTTAGGGGAAGGACCGCAGCCATTCTAGAAAGCTTGGTGCACGCTGGGATGAGTGTATGACTGATTCCTTATGAATATCAACATGACAAAACGCAGAGAAGGGAAACCACAATGAAATGCCCCATTATGATTGTGCTAACTCCGCATCTAACATGGCCGCCATATCGTCATCATCATCGCTCGGTGAGGAGCGATGTGTATAATCATCATCTGAATCAGACTTGCTTGAATCTTCTGATCCCCCTTCTCCTTCGTGGTCGTTGTCGTTATCAATATCTTTTACTTCATCATCGTCAACATCGTCGCTAACTTTTCTTTTTTTACTTGGAGATTCATTATTGGCGTCCTCCTGCGATTCTTCCTCCTCACCGCGCTTTCTTTTACTCGTCGACTTAGAGTCTTCGGAATCCGAAGAACTACTCGAATCCGACACGCTTCCGATCAAGTCGCTTTCTTCATCGCTAGCGTTCATAAGGTCCTCCACTTCCTTGTCCATTGCCTCTACTTCCGACGGCGAAAAGGACAGTAAAGGGTTTAAAGTTGACATAAGAATGTCGGCGCTGCTAACAGATTCAGATCTAGTTTTGTTTTCCGCGTCCTCACCAGTATCACCCGTACCTAAGTCATCATTTTCCATTACAGTATCCCGAGGAGTCCCGCGAGGGGTACCTTGATCCCGAATCTGTTGTTTGTATTTCTCTAAGCCCTCTACAGGAAACAAACGCTCGTCCACCCTTTCCCAGCGCTCGGAACAGCACAAAAGCCAGCCGGGATTCACAAGTTTAACTCCCCGGGTTTTAACCGCCCGGTATGATTTCTCCGTGCCTAATCTCCCCGCAATCACGTGAGTGGTTACGTCACTAGGGTTTGTCGTGTCCTTGGGTGTTACAATCGTGTTGCTTACTTTGGCGCCGAGCGCACACGCAACACGCCAAGGATAACTCTCTTCTTGCTTAGTAGACGTAGGAATAACTCCAGTAAATACAATGTTCGCCCCGAGTAACACATCACGGCGTAGTTCAGTCACAATGGCTTTTGCATCCGGGGTAGTTGTTCCAGGGGTGCAGTACTTAACACCGCTTGTAGAGTTTGGATTACCTTTGAGTTCTTCGGCAGAAATAGACTTTATCTCGTCTAAAGTCTTATAAAACACTTCGTGTACTCGTTTCAAAACGTCCTCGAGGTGAAGAAGGTAATCGTCATCACCATCACCGAACTCGTACGAGTGCTTTTGTGATTTCTTGAACTTTGTTTGCACTAAAGAAAAAATAAATAAAAAATTAACGAGAAACAAAAACGCGACATCAGTCTAGTTCCCTACTACCCTACCCTACCCTACTACACTACACTACACTACACTACACTACCCTACCCTACACTACACTACACTACCCTACCCTACACTACACTGCACTACCCTACCCTACACCACACTACCCTACACTACACAACACTACACTACACAACACTACTACACAACACTACACTGCACTACACTACACTACACTGCACTACACCACACTACACCACACTACACTACACTACACTTCATCACACTACAATACACTACATTTTAATACACAAAATGACACGAAACGTAACATCACTACACCACATCACACTACACTACACTTACACATAAGAAAACAACAAAACTGAAGAATTCTTAAGCAAATTAACGCCATCATGCTCATGTGCTGTTCGAAAAATCATCTTCCGAAAGCAACACTCACCTCCCTCGCAACTCTTCTCAGGTGTTTCGCCTGTTATTTCATCATTGCAAATCGAAGTGGTTTGTTCTTTATCACCTTTTGTATCACCGTTATTGTTCTTTTCACCCTCTTCGTTCTCCTCCTTATCATTTTGATTTATTTCTTTGGTCTCGTTAGATTCTTCAGGTTTCGTTTCGTCATCAACATTTTCACTTTGTCCATTCTCAAGCACTTTCGAGGAATCCACGTTTGATTTAACATCGTCAACAGAAGATTTCTTTGCGTTAATTTCATCGACACCTTCACCAACGGGATGTATTTTGTCCTCAGTAACTTCCACATTTTCTTCCGACTTTCCCAAGCTCATCTTCTCGTTCAAGACTACGTCAATTTCTGTCTCTGCGGATTTTTTGTTGTCTTTGAATACTGTGTCATCATTCTTCTCTTGATGTGCAACATCTTCAGTCTCCAGAGAATTTACTTCTTCAGCTTCGATATCTTTCTCCTGATTGTTCTTTTCACCAACTTCTTCTGCAGGGGACGTAAATTCTTCTTCGGGGGAAGGGGTGGATCCAGGTGGGGCATTTATGTCTCCCACCCCCTTGAAAAACTGATACGGTTTCACATGGATGAGGTTAGGGGCGAAATTCCAGACGTCTTCTCGATCATCGATTATGCAAACCATGTTGTCACCACATGGAAACAGTGACCTGTAAAAGAATAAATTATATTATCAGACCCTCAGTTATTAGAATTTATTCAAGTGACTTAAAATTGTCCGTGACTAACCGACTGGGTGACTCATTGACCGGATGACTGAATGATTGAATAACGAAGAGACAGACTGACTAATTGACTGACCATGACAGGCTGTCCGAGTGACTTATTGTCTAGCTGACTGACAGCCTGACTCGACTAAGTGCCAAAATGACTAACAGACTGAGTGAATGATTGATTAATTGACTGACAGACTGACCGAGTGACTTACTGACTAGTTGACTGACAGACTGACTTGACTAAGTGACTAAATGACTAACTGACTGAGTGAATGACTGATTAATTGACTGACAGACTGTGTGTCTAATTGACTACCAGACTGACTGCGTCTGCACACTGACAGACTGACTGAGTGACTAATGGACTAGGTGACTGAGCAACTGAGTAATTGACTCACCACCACAATAACTGAACAAATAAATCAGTGACAGCCACTGATCAGACTGAGAAACTGTCTAAGGTGACTAGTTTTGTCAAAGAAGCAGGAAGACAATGCAGGAGGACAAGGAAGGTTTTAAAGCCTAATGCCTCCAAGGAGAAGCAGTATGCCATACTGAGAGACCTATCTGCCTCACTTTAAAAGATGTATTTATATCTCAAAGTTATTTCGCCACTTTAGAAACAAGAACAAAAGTGGTCCAATTTAACCGGTTCACCCCTGAGCCGTCCATAATTACCCGTGTAGATACCACGTGTGACGTGATAAGTTTTAATGGTCAGGGACAACTTTGTCCGCTAACTTGTGCAGAGTGAAGAAATCTTTCAAGCAAAATCAGAATGAGCACAATTCATTCAAGGACACCAGAGAAAAAGGCAAAAAACCATGTAACATTGAAATGAAAATTCCATGAAAATCTTGTTTCACTACCCACGAACCTTTCCTTTCATCTAATCCTAAGATCCTAAAAGCCTTCCTAAAAACTTCCTAAAGACTGCTGTGTCACTTTTACACCCAAAACCACTATCTTGAAATTTTGCTTTCCGTGCATGCCTGAACATTGCAAGCTAATATTTTGCACCTGGATCAGAATGGCTTTATGGTCATTTTTAGCTCTATATAGCACGGCAGTAACCAGAAAACCGCTAGACTAACTTCAAAACGCATTTTTCAGCAAAATTTCCAGGGGTGAATGGGTTAACTTTTGCAAAGACTTCTTGGACTGTTACTGGAGACAGGGAAAAAGAATTGGCCAGTAGCTGACCAGTGCATCCCAAGTAATGATCCAAGAAACAATTATTGCAGGACACACTTCTGCTCCAGTCTCCTTGTTTCGTAAGAGGTGAATAAACAACTGAAAACAACAATAAGGAGACTACAGAACACAGAACTACATAGTACGTGCATTATTATGTACTAACCTCATATCATGGGATTTGGAAAATGCATTGAAGCATTCATCTCGTGAGCGAATCCTATAAGCAAACAATTTTCTATCTGGGTCTAACATTCGAGCAATGGTATGAGCATACATTCTTGATCCCATGGTGAAGATGTGCAGTTCATACAGTTCTGAAATACTCTTCAAGAAATTCACAGCTCCAGGTCGGATCTTTGTATGGTACCACACAGGGTAACCAGGCAGTTGAAAATGATGAACATCCTGTGGATATTTAATGGAGAAAAATACTATTTGATGGTGAACAAGATCCTACATTACATCATATATGTAGTTCCCCTGCAAAATGTAAACGTCTTTATTGTTGTTTTCTATTTGAATGTCAAGTGGTGAGTGCATTTTTTAGCTGCTTTTGAAATCACTGAAGAAGAGGGAACACCCTTGAAATGTCTGGTTTTCCTTCAAGCCTTTTCAATGCATATTTCGACAAAACTTTGACTTTCATAAAATGCGAAAAGCCTTTACATTTATGAAGCAAGAACAAAAGCAAAGCAACAAGGACAACAAGTTAGCCTTATAAAATGTTTTTGCTACAATCTTTTTTTTAAACAAGTGCACTAGTAAAAAAAAGCCGGCCAAAATAGTGGATGGCTTTTTCACAAAAAATAATTAAGATAAAGTTTAAAGTTTAATATGCCTATCATGCACACACACTGACAGATAGAAGGCACCAAGATTTTGCAAATAAATAAAAGCAGATATGTAATCACAGAAAGTCAAAGCTATTATTTCTATAAAGCATAATTATGTTTCAAATAGCAAAAGAATAATATTTGATATATAAATTTTATATATAATTCACCTCTGTCATTACCAGTAGATGTAGCAATGCCCTCTTAATGCTGTAGCTTATTTGTTTTCTATGATCAATAATTATTATTGATCATGGAAAACAAATAAACTACAGCATTAAGAGGGCAATGCTACATCTACTGGTAACGACAGAGGTGAATTACATATAAAATTTGCCAATTTGGGCAACCTGTGAACACCTTATTGCTTTGGGTTCCCCGTGACACATTGTGTGGTCTTTGGAAATATGTCAAAAATATGCCATGATTTTAAGATAAAGTAAATGGTGTAACCACTTTTTCCCTGTTTTTGCACTCTAGTTGAGTGTACTTTTCGTACACACACAAGCACCTCTAAAAAAACCAAGTTAATTCAAGATTCGTACAGTGTCGTACCTCCATATCTTCAGGAATCAGCTCCATTGTTGTATGAATAAGAGTCTGATCCAGATCCACAATTAGTGAAAGCTTGCGAGTTTTAAGAAGTCTGGCTTCATCCTTTTTTCCTAAAGCCTCAGCTTCCTAACAATGGATTAGTGAAATGCTTGCTTACAAAACTATAAATAACTTTATTGAGCCAGCAAAATGAGAGGACATGATACTACTAATAATTTGTTTTGTTCTACAAGTGTTACATGTACATGTACATTGTAGGTACAACAAGAACAAGAATGTGGACCTCGTAAAGTTGGGTGCAACTGATACATGGTCCTGGCCAGAAAATCAATTTATTTCTGTTGTATATGTTACAGGTCAAAATAACATTCAGGTTAAAATTTTTTAACCATTGTAGGTTGATTCTGAACTTCCTTTTTCTCAAAGCCCTAATTATTTATGAATTAGGGCTAGGAGACAAAGGATTGAAAATCAATTTACGTTAAAAAATTTAACCTGAATTTAATTTTGTCCTGTAACATATATATGTTGTTGGTGAAATAAATGTAATAAAGAAAAATACTATAAATTCCTGGTTGTAATCCGTAACAGTTATAAGCCCCCCTGCTTATAAGCCTTCCATCAGTGAACAGAAATTTTACTTTGGTTATAAGCTTCCCTGCTTATTGGACCATCTGCATATATCTATATAATAACGTCTTGTTTGGAAATGTTTCAGTTATGTGCAGTAAAAGTTAGAACCTGGAATTTTTCGTTGGAGTGAAATTAAGTATGTAAATGAAGTACATAAATACAGTACTAAATTATATATGCTCACGGCTTGTCATCAGGATATTTTGGTGATACAGTTCCAACTTTTGAGTTGGAGGTCAACATTTTTTTAGGCGGCGGTGCTGTATTTTTTTGTTTGAGATGTGTCCTAAGTTTTGGTTGGGGTACTCTGCCGTGTCTAAAGTACAGGTCACTGTTCCATCGATAAATTACCAAACCACACAGATTCTTCTCGATCTAATAGAGCATTATGTTAAGAGATTAGGGCTAGGAGACACTTTTAATGCTATTCAATTATCTGTATTATGGTAACCTGTACTCTGACGTATGGAAAAGTCACCTGCACCTTAGACCCACCGCTTTGTAGAAAACAGTTAAATGATGTTAAGTCTGCATACATACCTCTGGGCTCACTTTCAACTCAGGGATGTTATGTATAAGAGGAACAGATGCCAGAGTTGGAGAGGATGGCTCATCTTGTTCTTCATTGAGTCTTTGAACAGAAATACAGTGAAACTGCTTAAAGTGGATTCTGAAGGATTTTATGATTTAGGATTCTAATTTTCTGCAATTTTCCTTAGATTTTTATTATCATATTTAATACACACAAGCCAAAAAAAACTGTAAAAATTTTATCTGTCAAACTCCAGTCTAGATGTGTCAACAGCTTCAATGGCAGATGCTCGGGGGAGTGAATGGGGTGGTGATGTTTGTCTTTTCATTTAGGACAGTAAAAATATTATTGCAGCCACTGTACTTTAGTATCACTTAGATTAGAATGCAAGTATTTTAGCCCAAACTGGTACTGCTTAGGTCAGTGCTTGTAGAAAAAAAATTAGAGAAAGCAGAAGAGGAGGGGGGGTGACAAAGAAGAAAGATTCAATGACAGGCCCCGGTTGTTCAAACGTTGGAGAGCGCTATCCACCGGATAAATCACTATCCAGCGGATAAGTATTAGGGAAACCAATTGCGCTATCCATTGGATAGAGATTTATCCTGTGGATAGCGCTTTCCAACGTTTGAACAACCGGGGCCAGATCTTTACTGCAACTAGAGAATGGTCTCATTTAATTCTTATTTTCTGACAAGCATCTTTCTCCCTCGACACCTGATTCACCCCCTGGGGTTAGATGTTGGTAATAATAATAATAATAATAATAATAATACTTTAATGATTATCCTCTCCCCTTATGGGGCTTTTCAGGGATAATGAAACAAATAATTTAAATGGAAAGTAACATGATTAAAAATCCCAACTGGTAGTAGGTGAACCAGTTGGCTATTTCGATTTGAACTCAGGACTACCGAGAACAAATCCAGCTAGCAGTCAGGGCGGGGCAAGGTCCAGTGCACCAACCGCTCGGCCACTCTGCCTCCTTAGTTGTAGGAAAGAGGGAATGACTCTAAACATTAGAAAGAAAGCTGCCATCGATCAGACACAGGATCTGACCAACCAACCACACAAGAGTATTAAGCGATATGATGACACTTGCATCCATGATTACTTAGAAAAGCAATGGTATTTCATTTGGTACCACCTGCAATTTCACTACGGGTGCTTTCCAAAAATCAGAACTGGGAGGCCAGACCAGTCATTTTGAAAATGAATCATTAGTCTTTTCTTAAATTTTTACTTAAACCCATCACTGCTGTGTATACCATTTAGGAATAAAAGGATCTGGCCAGAAAGTTCTGATTAATAGTGGAATACTCCTTACAACTGGATTGGTCTGGCTAGCCTGACAAATGCTAAGTGCCCCAGAGCCCTTAAGAATGCTAGAACTTCAAAAGCAATTAAGGAGAGATGTAAAAACTAGTTCCCGGTGAGAAAAGCCAGGACGAACCTAAAATTAGTTTTTTTATGAAATACAGACTAATTTTTAAACCTCTTGACACTTGTTATTTGCAACACCTAATGAGCTACAGTAATACATGTAGATACCTACTTCCTAAGATCAGCACCACAGTCACAGCAGAGATCCTTCATGACCATCTTGTGCTCACACTCGGTTGCTTTATCTATCAGCAATACGGGTGCCCTGAAAAATCAAATGAAATTCAGGGCTACGTGCTCTAACAGCACCTGTTGGCCCCTCGTGCCATACTTTTGCTCTTGGGCGACACTAGGAAATCTCAATTCTTGCATAGAAATCATAAGCTGGGTACCCTGTGTTACTCAAATACCGAGCATGGGACTCCTTAGAATTTTCCTTAGAGCACAGCCTTGAAATTGTAAAACTTAAGTTGAACAAATCCCTGAGATAACTTTGAATTTATTAGTCAGTCTTTATTGACAAAATTAAGACAATAGAAACTACTGATCGAAGCATGCTTTCTAAATTGAGAAGTGTTCTGTTCTTTCTTCAAATTCTGAGGATTGTAGAGAACATACCCAAAACTATTCCAGTATCAAGGTCAGCCAGTTTTTTATTTTTTTGGGGGGGGGGGGGGGGTGAGGGGTTGATGTAGGATACTATTCCACCTGGCAAAAATAACATAACATTATAATATAAAAATACCCAAAATTCCTTCAGTTTGCAATGAATAATAACAAAATTCAGAGAGGTGTAGTATGCTGTACCTCAAAATCATTGGCTATTTCAGGTGAAAGATACTATACAGTTTTAAAAAACCTACACACTGTGTAATTCACTCAAAAACCCAGACTGTGACTGCAGTATGTATCTCATCTATTCAGCTTTTGCTTATAATTATTTTAAGCCTTCTGCCTTTAAGGGTTCCTGCATAATGATTTCTAGATGAACAGTCAAATTTTGGGGAACTTTTAAAAATAACTTTAATTTGCCCCTAAAATTGTGGTGTTTGAAGCAGGCCAAGTCATGTGTGAAACAGCTGGGACTTGTAAACTATTACATGTAAAAAGTCTTTTTAAAATCTAGTATTCAACTCATGTCATTAAAATTCTAGAATAATATTGCCCAAAAAAAAAGGAAAATTTAAGAAAATTCAGGATTGGTCGGTCAATGTCCAATCAAATCTAACGAAACTGAGATAAATCAAAACTCGCTCTAACACGACATCCACTTGATCACGAGTTGATACCACACTCTCACTTCGCAAAGGCAGTAAAAATACCTAACAATACAATGATCAAGAGACATCTAAGCTCTTCCGAAAGCTACCAAGATTCGCAATCATGCGACACAGTCTGCAAGTTTCGCCTGTCAACAACTTGTCGTTACTAAAATGTCACCATCAAGTTCAAAAGTGTCTTAATTGCTCAAAAAATTTGCAGGCTGCGCAGATTGCTTTATACCATTAAAACGTGCTGAAATCCACGGTCTTTATATCCTCTGATCATTCCAACACCTTAAACAAGTTATTCTCTAAAAATCTAAGCGATCAGGCTGTAACAATAGAGACGAAAATCGAGTGCTGTAAACCCTCAAATAGAGACCATCCGAACAAAAACAACCTCATCGAAAGCATGTGAGCTGAAGTTTATGTGCAATCTCAAAGTGGTATTTCCAAGAAAACATGCTAAATTACTTCTTTTGGTATCTGGGAAAACTCTAGGTTACGTTTTACGATCTGTATGTCTGGTGCTCTATGATTTGTCCTTACCCTGCGGGGACAATGTCTCCCTCAGCAACAAGCAGCTCACGGACTTTACCAGTAAAAGCGGATTTGAGTTTTGGCTGAGTTACAAACGATCCAGTCCTCTCTGCTTTGCCAGAAACTTCATAAAAACAAAGAACACTTCCTTCTCTAACTTCTGATCCAGCGGAAACCCGCCATCGTGACAGTTTGACAGAAGATGAGGTCGAAATAACAACCTCTTTTGACTGTTTGTCCGCCATTTTCGTTTCACTTTTCGCGCGTGGGACAAAGTCTAACCAGTCAGGGTGGGGCGAGCTATGTGAACTACTCTGTAGTGGTAGGGTAAGAAATATTAGTACTAAAATCAGGAAGTTAGTTTACCATTTTGGTAATCTTGAAACAGGAAAAGCAGTTGCCAACTTTAAAGCAATTGTACCTATTTGTCAATGAAAATAATCCACCAAATTCATAAAGGCAATAGTTAGATCGCTACATTTGTATATGAATTTTTTCCTTTTGATTTTTTTTGCCTTCAGTAGAATTTATTTATGAAACCGTTTACTCTTTGAGGAGATTTTTTCTGCCATGTTTTATATATGTAATTTTGGAAATATCAAAAAGCCATTTTTTTCTGGCAATTTTTTTTGTTTACTTTTTTTTTTCACTTTCACTATTGCGCCCGCAGTCAACAAGCCTTGGTGATTTGAATAATTTATGCGTGCACTTCTTCCGCCATGTTGAAAAAGAAGAGACGACTTCCTCTCTGTAAATGGTATTTGTGTGTTTCGTGTGTCATTTTGGCAAAATTAACCATAGAATAACTCGGAAATGGATGACAATGCTAGGGGAATGGCCTCAAAAATACTCTGTGATTTGCTGAACATTTCAAAGGGGGACAGCGCGTCTGCAAACTGTGAGAATGGTAACATTGCTTACAAATTCCTAGTCTTTACTGTGTCTTAAATTTTCGATTTCTACTTCGTTTCTGGAAGGCGGAATTTAGCTTCCTCAGGCTGGAAAATAATAGACTTCCTATGAAGCTAGTTATAAGACGATTAACTCAGTGCAGCTGCTTAAAACTGCAAGATAAAAACTTTTAACAGTTAAATTAGCTATTTGCAAGTTTGTAGCGCTTAATTTATATTCAGTGTCAAATTAAAGACAACTTGTAATTTAAAGTTTTTGCCGGTTTTGGCGCATATTTTTCTTCAAATGGAACTAGCAAGGTTTAAGATCCAAACACCAATACCTCTATTTTATTATTATTAATTTTCAATAATGTGTATAATTTGTCCGTATTGCTGGTTTTCAACAAAGTGACAAGGCAGCAGCCATGCTGGTGGACAAAACAATAAAATTCTCCTTTGCGGAATTTGCACAAAAAAAGAGTTTAGTTCCCAGTGGAGAGAAACTCTTTTGTTTTCCTCCACAAGCATGGCCCCCATGACGTCAGCTGAAAACCAACAATTTTGTCTCCTGTCAGGAGTGTTTTAAAATAATGTCTTTGCTATCTCAATCATGAAGAATATACTTTACATCAAATAATCTTGTGAGGCTGATTAAGAACTCAGTTCTCTCATCTTTTTAAAGTAATTACAACCCTTGATTTAAATTGAACTTATTATGCTGTTTTGTCTGTTCAGATTTTGGCATATCTTATTTTACGTCCCCACATCCTATCGTACTGGCTCCTAGTTTGCCTTTCCCCTTCGCAAATCTCATATGAAATAAAGAAAGATGGTCAATTTTCACTTCCATGTTCCTTTTATGGACTGTATGTCAACCGATGTATCACCTGATATCTCGGTCACCTGTTGGTCAACGTATCAGACGCCATAATTTATTGGTCGAGTGTTGGTCAAGTATTGATGGTGGTCAGTAGTCAGCCAGTACAGTCTATTGGTTGATAGTTGGTCATTACTTTGCCAATGGATCACTGACAGATCAGTGTCACTTGGTTGTTGTAACGGTTAACTAACGTTTTGACATATCTGTCGATATATTGGTCAAGCCTCGGTCGAATCTCAGTTGAGATTATTATTTTGAACTGCGTGAGTTTGGTATGAAATATTGGAGGGTATGAGCGTGGTTAGTGACTCTGTCTCGGGTGTCAGTCAAGTGGTATATTGGCTCTACTGACCGACTCTTGACCGACACTCGACTGACACTCGACCGACATAGCAATCAGTATGTTGACCATTAGTCGTCTGAGATGTCCCCCAATACTGTACATCAGTGGGAAGCCCCCTGTAAGACACATGCTCCTCTTTTATGTATCCTGCACTTCATATCCGTGCATTCTAGATCATCCATCCATGTGTCCCAGACTTCCGTCTGTAACATTTATATGAAACCTATTAAATTCAAAATCGTTATCTCTTTCACTTTGCTTCTCCTTTTTATTTATATGTTTGTCTACATACTGATGTCAGTACCTTTTGTCCCATTAGATAATAAAGTAAACAATGATACAGAAAGACAAGGGAATGGTGAGAGAGATGTTGATGATTCCATAAGGTATGGAGTGTAGGGCTACATTTATTTATATGTATGGCCTGCATATTCTCGTAACCTATAGATATTAGTAACCTCATGTGTTCCAGATACTTTTCCTTACTCAAAGACAACCATTCAGAAACTGAAATGTGTACTGAGGGAGATGTTGCCTATTACCTTGGTACCAGTCCTGTCAATGCTTGACTTCACTTTCTCTTATTTTATAGTTATTAAATGGGTGTCCGATTCATATGCGGGGATTTTCCCAACTTATTGGCACAATCTAAGAACACGGAAACACCTGATCATCTAGGAGTTTCCAGTTCTTGCTTGATTATTGGAACGTCTAGGGAATAGCTGTCTCAAATTGTCTGTTTTTTTTTGTCTTACTCAGCTGCTAAGTTTTACTAAAATACTACTACTACTACTAATAATAATAATGATAATAATAATTAATACTGTTATTCTTTCTGCAGTGAAACAGCCTCAACTGAAAGTTCCCTTTCTCCTCTGAGAAGGGTAAGAATCATTCTTTGTAACTTGATCAAAAGACTTAGTTTGTAACTCAGTCATATTATTCTGTAAAGCTATTTATTAAATGAATGACTCAGTGAGGGTGCAATATGATGTGAATACCATGTTCTGATTGGCTACCTGAGCAGGTAGGGTGGGCCCATGCCACCCTGCTCAGGATTCCCCATGTTGGTCTCGCAACAAAAATTGCTTTTTTTCGCCATCATAATAAATCCTTTATTGACCAACAATGAGGGACAAAAGTGTCAAGGCTCTTCTATAAAATAGCCCATTTTTGCTTAATGGACGTATCTATCCCCTCCCCCTGTGTATCCCCACACCTTCCCTCAAAATCAGTTTTGTAGTTTAGACCCCCAAGTCTTCTTTTACTACAAACAACATTGATTCAGGGGTAGGGGGACTTATTTATTTATTATTTTATTAATAGGGTAGGGAGACTTATGGCATTTAAACAGAATTAGATGATAAGTGAATGAAATTGTTGATAAATTAGGCTAGGTTATCAAATTAGTCTTAACTAAAGATATTGTATTTCTCCATGCAAATAGTCAGTGTATTCCATTGAAGCTTGCAGGTGGCTTGACAGCTAAAACGCACATCATCTACTTAACAACACCTTTGGATAATTGTGTTTGTTCTCCCTTCTGCAAAGGGTAAATTTACTTCAGAATGACAATAAAATGTTTGATGAACTTGCACTCTGTTACAGGGAAAGGAACACATGTCTGATGTGTCCACATCTGACAGTGAAGGAGTTAATTCAAGGATGTCCCTTGAGCCTGTAAAACAAGTCATGTAAGCTGCATTTTTAATTTGCTTTTTTTTCTGATGATGAAACTATTATGCTCCTAAAAATACTGTCCATTATACTTGACATTCTTTGATTTTATGGATAATTTTGCCCTTTTTTCTGAAGTCATTTGACAGGGAATGATAGTGAAGGAAGCAAATCAGTTTATGGCAGTGATGTAGAAATTGTAACCAGACAATCAGCTGCTTCAACAACATCAACAGCAAGCAATAAGGTAGGGCTTAAAAGTGCTAGTGTCAAACTATTAATATCCTATCCAAGGAGAGTTGCTGTACATGTATATGCTTCATTCTGCAATTTCTGGATACCTTGGACTCATATGCCCCTATAAGCATGATTGTCATTGATTCTGATGTAAACATTAACCTTATTAACCACTTGGCCTAAGGGCTGTTGCTGGGGGCTGGTAATTTTCCCTGGCTACCATGAGCATGAACGCTGGGATGTTACTAAGATTTCAATTTGCTAGGGATATGCAATTAATTAGTAGGTGGGAAGTGAACAGCTAGGAAGCTCTTTATGTGCTTTTTTCTTTTGTTTTCTCTCAAAGTAGTGAGGGATCTTGCTCATAGTAACCAGGGGGGGAAATCCGTGTGGCTCCTGGCCCTCAGTGACAACCTTGTCTGAACTCTTGCTACTTTCAAAGGAAACAAAAGACAAATTAAGCCCAAAGAACCTCATATTTAACTTGCAACTTGAAACCTCAGTGCTAGTGCTGTTGACATATATTCTCAAAAAAAGGTAGACTTTTTTCTGGAGAGGTGCGTTCTCCTAGTACTTCTACAGAAAGTAAAAATCCAGAGGTGGACTTTTGGCTTTTTATAACTTTTGGGAGCAAAGTCCTTTTTTAATCCTTTCACTCCGAAACTGCGAAACTGAAATGTAAGAAAGAAAATGAACTTTTATGATCAGATAGATTATTTTTTTATGGTCACACCTCAGGATTTGGCCTTGCAGACTCAAAAAGGGAGAGTTGCATTTCATTTCTTCATAATTGACTGTGGAAACTATTAATGGTTAATCTTGTTTGATTCTTTGCAGATTAAGTTTAATTCAATGGTGAATTATGAATGGGAGCTTAAGTACTACAGAGGTTGTTTGATAGCTGTTAGCAGCAAGTGTATTGCCTATGCTCTTAAAGGTACATACTCCATAATAATTCCAATATTAATTTTAGGTTTTATTCACTGTATTGAAGTTTCTGTATATTGTTATTTTGATGCCTGCAAACATTTCTGACAGGTCGTCAAGGATATGTGGTAAGGCTCTTGAACCCTGAAACAGCTTCTAGGACACTGATTAAAGGATTTGTTGGTACGATCAGTGAGTTGGCCTTCAGTCACAGAGACTCTGACACTCTGGCTTGTGTTGATGAGGGTGGTAATGTCTACATCTGGGTCATCCATGAGGAAAATGGAAAACTTGAGTATCCTGTTGATGACATGTTTACATCAAAATCTTATTTCAGTATTATCGTAAACTGAATTAAATTTGGAAATTTTATTATTAACTAATTGAAAATTCTCTTGGAGGAAATATGGATAGCTTTAAGCCCATGCAGGAAGAGCGCAAATGCAAAGAATTTTGCTTACAAATGAGGCGTGAAAATTTGCTTGTGTTACATAATCATGCATAAGAGCCCTTTAGTCAAATCCTGGATCCTAGAAAACAAGAGTTTGAGGTATTTTTTGATGACCTTGACCCTGTCCTAAGATACTCAGTAAAACTTCACATTAAACGTCCTGCTGGCACTCTCTGTGAACATCACAGATTGGTATGGACTCCATATATGGTGGATACTGAGGAGCAAGAAAGAAACACTGAACCTTCAGGACCATTAGCTATCACACATAATAACCAGGTAAAAAATACGGATCACATACATTTGAACTTGATAAAAACTTAACGTTTAAATTACAGACAACTGTACCTGATCAGGACACTTTTTTTCAAATTGGAGAAAAAGCACCAGTGACACTGTCATCAAATGTCGTTAATAATTCAGAGAACAAACCAGTTCACACACCTCCCCCCTTCCCTCTATTCTAAGTTAGGGTGTTTGTTGTTTGCTACAGGTTAGTTCGAACAGCAACACAATATTATATTCAGGGGGCGGAGGAAGGAAAGCTTTATTTTCTCCTTTTGAAGTTGGCAGAATGTCAGAAAGGCCCTTCAGTGAGGGAAAGGTTTAAAGAGTGGTGTTTCAGTGAAAGTGTCATATCCTTCCCATTAGAATATCATTTTTGTCCCGAAAAGGTTTTTGTGCATCATTGTATTTTCACATTGGTTCTTTTAAGCTACCTGGTAACACAGATAATGGAAAGGAGACATCATGATCTTGCTTTTTCTAGGTGGAAGTGATAGACATTGACACTCTGTCTCAATGGTGTGAACGAACAGAAGTAGCTGTTGATGAAATAAGGCAAGGTGAAGGGTATTTGGAAATCACCGATGGGCACACAAAGGTAGAGTAATGTGTTCAATTGAAATTCTGGTTTAACCTGAGAATGGATTTTACCTTTACATTTTAAGGCTTCTTCACTTTAGACAAAATGTTTTTTATACGCTAGATAAAATATGAGTAGAGATATGTATGCCTGTGAGCTTTTACAGTGATAAGCCAAAGGCAAGCAATTGTATAACCCATACAGATCTGACACAAATATTTTTATCATACTTGGGAAATGAGACAATCAGTATCAAATGTTAATTCTACTACTTCATTAATGCAGTTGTCGATTTTTGAGGTGTAAATGTGACTCAAATACTATCTATAGACTGGTCATAACTTTGTTGAGTGATAAATGAATTTGACTTCTTAATTTAAATTTGTCTTAGCAAATCACTGAGGGTGCTTTGTCTCCTGATGGATCAGTACTTGCAACAGCCAGCGAAGATGGCTTCATCAAATTTTGGCAATTGTCTGACAAAGTAGAGTGTATGCATGAATTTCAACCACACGATGGTTTACCGTTGTCATGTATGGTGTTCACTGATAATCAGTTGTCACAAGATAAAGAGTAAGTGACAGATTGAATGTAAAAAGAAGCGACAATACTCGTCATGAAACATTGAAACAGACACCATAAGATTTCTCTTGAATTTTCTTGAAAATTTCTTGGAAACACTCTTCACTCCTTTGTTCTCAGATGTGCCCTTCTCCTTCCCCAATGTCAAGCCACACGTATTTTAGGGCAGTGAGGCCCAGTTCAAACGGCGATCTTTTTATGTACTGAACTTAATGCCTATTAAGGTCGACCCAAATGATACAAGTTTAATAGTTCATTCAGATGTCGAACTTTGTTGGTCAGACTCAATTCATTTTCATGATGTTCGATGGTCTAAAATGCTTACAAGAAAAAAATAAATTTTGGTAATTTACGCATCAGGTTTGGTGCATGAGAATTTCGGCGTTTGTAACGAAGTTGCTTTACAATCGAAATTCCCATGTGGGCTACTCAATCTTTTTCATGGGTCAACTCAAATTAGACATGTCAAACTTAATTAACTCAAACGTCAATCTCTTCATGTACTTAATATGAATGGATTAGGGTCAGCACATGAAAAGTGGGCCCGAGATGACTGTAATACCCAAATCCGGCGACCTTGGGAAAAAGATAACAAAACACAAATGTTTCAACATTTTTTACAAGTATTATAGTGCAAAGACACATGTCATAGACCCTAAGGGCGCTTTCCATTTACGAAAAAAACCCGGAAATTGCGGTGGTAGCAAAAGTGGAATTTCCGATTGGTAAAAAGTTGTTCCATTTGGTCGTAAACCCCGGTACGTGGCGCGGTGCCCGACCGTGGACCTGGAACTGGTACAAACTACGAGAAACGTAAATGGAACACGACATTCCGTTCAGAAATTCCAACCGGGAAAACGGGACCACCTTTTTAGATTTTCCACTTTTTCTGGGAATTTTCCAGTGGGACGAACCGACGAAACGTGTTCCATTTACCGCCGAACCGGAAATTCCGGAAATTTTGACTAAATGGAAAGCGCCCTAAGTATCCTGATCCCTTACACTAAAGTGAAAGCAGTTCCTCAGGATAGTGGCTTGAGTGGGCAAATCAGGCAACTGAGTGAGGGAATAACAGATACATTGTAACTTGTGGCAAAGCAGGGAAGTTGCCCTCTCAGTCATTCACTTTCTCCATTCCTGGTGAGCCTTGACTCAACCATCTGAAAGAGGACTGTCTACAATCTACCCTTAAAAATGGTAATAAGACTGAGTGGAGTCCAATCATGCAAGTGTTTAAACAAAATCAGACAAGAAAGGAACCCATTCATGTTCAATTGTTCAATCACAGTGCCCAAGATGGCAGGTCCTGTCAGATAATACTCACAGCCATGATGCAGATTGACCTATTTCACAGTCCCATTAATGCTGAAATCATGATTGCTGATTGCCATCCAGATTTGAGAATATTTTTTTTTAGTGGTGATTGTGATTAGTTACTGTTACAATGAATGGCAAGGTAGTCTCACTTGGTTGTCCAGGTTTGCATGAAAAGAGGCGTGAAAATATGCATTTTTTTTGGTTCTTTAAGTTTTTGTTACTTCAGAAGTAATACTGTCTCTGAATCCTTCAAACGCTTGTAACATGTAACACAGTACGAGCTTTATTGTAACAGAAAAATCTTAATAGTGGTCATATCAAGTATTCTTGTTTATTGGTGAATTTACTTTGTTTTCCTCTTAGACTCCCAATGTGGAGATTTTTAATCACAGGAGCTCAATTTAACAGAGAGATTAAAGTTTGGTGTACAGTTACCTGGTCTTGCCTACAAACAATACGGTGATTAGTTAGGCTGCATTTACTCTTATGAAAAACTTCCTTTTTGCATGCTTTTCTTTCTTGACTAATCTTCTGTTGGTTGATTGATTGTCATTTTTTTGCGTTATGTGTAGATTTACATCTCCTGATGTTCCAGGCTCAAGGTAAGTCATCAAAATAGAACGTAATTTGACTGTGGTCAGACAAGGGAATAAAACGTTTGCTTAGTTCTGCAGCCCAGTCAGAATGTTTTGCAGTAGTCAGCAGGATAAACTGGAGTAGCAGGCAGCAAAGGGTTTAAGCTTGTTTGGTTTTTGTTTTACGTTATTAAACTTAAGTGTTAAAAGGTATCAAATATTCCATTGGAAGCAGCAAAATTGCCATCTGCTGGCTCATTTTGAGTGGTAAAATTAACCCAAAAATCTGTCTGCCGTCTGTCGCTACATTGTCAACAGACAGTTCACCGACAAACAATCAACAGCTCTACATGCTGCAACAACTTGAAGAAATAGTTCCGTGTCTCAAAAAAATGTGTTGACGTTAACAGACAAGTGACCAACAGTTAAACAACTGTCGGCCAACACTATTTGGTTTAAATAGGACAATTGCACGATGACGATATTTGAATACAACTACCAGAATTCATTTCGGTTTTGCTTTGTTATTTAAATTTGTCAATCCCGCTGAGGATTAAAGAACAATAGCCTTAATTTGCACAAGAAAACAACAAACTCAAGGATTCTGGTAGTTGTAGTCAAATGACGTCATCGTGCAATTGTCCTATTGGGAAAACTGTTGGCTAACTGTTTGTTATTTTTTGGCCAACAGTGGGCTGTTTGTTGGTCGACTGTCAGTTGACTGTTGGTCAAAGTCTACCAACAGACAGCTAACAGATTTTTGGGGGAGCTGTTCTTCGATTTTACCTTTTGAGTGGACTGGATGTGTTACACCAACTTGTTAAAGGCATCTTTGTTAAGTTTACATGTGTTCACAACATATATACTACTGAGATTCTGATTCTGTTTGTGTTTTTTGCCTTATATCCTTTAGTTCAATCAAACACTCATTTCTGAAAGTGAGTTTGGACCTGTCAGCCTCTTATTTAGTTGTATCGGATGTTATAAAAAAGGTAAGAATATAGAATAAATTCCCCTTGTGGCTTTCCAAGTGGGAATGGGGGGAGCAAATTTCCACATAAAAGTGAAGTGGATGAAAAATTTAAATTCAAATATGTGAGCTATGTATTGACTGACTTGAAATGCTTTGTGAAAAATCATGAATCACAGATTGAAGGTAAATTTAAATATTCATACCATACCTACAAATTTTATAATTTGAGAGTAACCAGTGCTTTTGATTCTAAGCATTTTGTGCTGCATCCTATTTCACCCTTCTTTTATGGCAATCAATAAGAAAAGAAGTTGTGAAGGACAGAACCCTCTTCAAGATCGAAATTTATTGTCACTGACTAGAGACAATATGAAAAAATTTTAAAATGTAGCAATATATTTTTTATAAGGTACACATACTGTGTCAGCTCCTACTTTATTGACTACAGGTCTTCAAGGTCACACTGAATGCTCACACTAAATTGTTTAAAGGATGTGTGGAAGAATAATATGTCATCAAGGTATTTCAGAGTCCATGCCGTAAGCTAAAGTGTGTGTTATTCTCTCTGACTTTTATTACCAGGTTCTTTACGTATTTATGTTCCATCAAGACGTTGAAGAAGGCCAAGCACACGTCACATCAGTGGCAGAATTCCTTCTCACTCAGCCGCTGCTAAGCTTTGTCGTTGGCCAAGTCAAATGCTTCAAACTCAAATCAAATGTAGAACAAAATGGCGAAGAAAATGGGGATAGCCATGTTGATGATGATATTCACGCGTCACATTTAGGGCTGGACGAAATAGCTACTGGAGAAGATACAGGAAAGAAATTTGGTGTCCAGTTACAACTGTATTGTATTCAAACCAAGTAAGACTAACCCAAGTTACTTACATCATAATTATTTTGGTGTCACCAATAAAATAATACAGTTGTTTCTCTTTTACACATCGCATGTTCTGTTGCCAAAATAATGGATAGTCACTGAAATGAAAAAGTTAGTAATACATAAATTTAAGGGTTGTGATTTGAAGAAATATCGTAATTAACCAACCTGAAGGTAAATTTTCTTGAATACCAGAATCTTTTGTTCTGGTTTTTTTTTTTTTACCTCACAGACGTTTTTTCTTGGCTCAAAAACATGTTACAAAAGCAAAAATCTACAAGAAAACATCAACAAAAGATGGTTGTTCTCCTACCCCATGAACTTTGAATGACTGAATAGTTTGTAATTTAATATAATGGTACAGTTGCTGATTTTCATGTTTTTTGTCTGGAGCTCTCTGAAAGCCGGCTTACTATCAATCTCTTCAAGTGGGATGAAAAAACAGTAAAATTAAACAGGAGACCATTATAACAGCGCAAGACAAACAGTCTCTTACTTCAGAGTGGCAGTTATGTCATCTGAATCAACCATCACAAAGTCAATTTGTGACCTTGAATTTTGTTTTTGCCCTTTCAGAGCAATGCAAGAACTGCTAATACACTTCCATCCACAACCGTCGGTTCCCCCACCCACCCCTTCCACATTGTCATCACTTACAACCACAACAGGCCAATCTGGTAAGTGCTTTGTTTTTGTTGGTATCTTCTTAGGATGCATTTAATAAAATGAAGGCTAAATGACCTTAAAGTTTGTGGCCTATCATAATAACAGAGTTAAATAACAGTGCGTAGAACCAAATCTCTGTGTGTTTCTCTGTGTTGCAGACACGTTTGTTGGTTCCCTTTTTTGTTGTTGTATGGGTATAGTCTAGTGACCTCTCAGTGTTAGAGTAAATGATGGAGTCTTCCAAGGGTGGCTGTAACTATTGTGTCTATGAAGGAAATCTTACTTTGTGACCATTCAAATAAAAACCTCTTTGGCAGTACTTTCACATGGTAATGTTTGTTTTGTGTAGCATTTTACAAGATAAATTCTGAAATTTTGATAAAATTTGACTTAAGCCATTTTTTAGAGTAATTGGGTTAGGTCCTTTTTGATTTTAGTTTTTGCACCATCTGCAATACCATAAATTTTCACTGCCAATATTCTGTTTTTGGAGGCATCATGACAGAAGTGACCAGGTCTCATATTTGAACTTCCATGCACTGACCTTTTTACCAACACAGACACTACCACATGAAACAAAAGAGGGCGTTTGAATACCTGCATCCTGAAGACATTATTACCACCAGTTCATTAAGTTAAGCGTGAGTGTAGGGTGAATAATAATTATGTTTTTCTTTCATGTAGTTATCCATGATGCACTGTCTGACTTAAGTGGAATAGAAACAGGCTCTGAAGCCAGCACTAATATTGAAGATCCCGAAGATAGTACAGATGGTCCAAATCCAGTTCGCGCTAAGCTGATCACACCTGAAGCCTTCAAAACTAGTGCATTTAAAGGCTTACATCAGTCTGAGGTTAAAAACAGCAGTGGCAGCAGTGTGACCATGGTTTCTGGTCTGAATAATTCACAGGGGTCAGTCGATGAGTTGCTTGGTTCATCAGTGTCATCTCGACTCTCTGACACTACTATCAGGTCAAGTAATTCAGTCACACCGCAGGGGTCTTTTGCTCAAGAGAGTGGTATTCTAACTCCCACATCTTTACCTCTTCCTCCATCACCGACTGTCATGAGTGCACCTGACCCCAGTTCTGTCCCAATTCCAAACTTTCGTTCTAGTCCTCGTGGGGAGACCAGCCCTCAGTCGTCGGCCAAAGAACCTGTTGTAAATAGTGAAACTGAAGCTGTTGTTTGCAGTTCAGTGATTCAAAATTTAGAAAATGGGTCAAGTGGCTCCAGCGGCACAGCCCTAAAAGATAGGAGTGCAACAGGGAGTCCTGTCGGAAGACAAGTGGATGTTGAAGCATCAGCTGATGATGAAGCAAAGGACGAAGGTGACGAGGAGCTTCCGGAGTCACAGAAACCAGAGGCTGAAATACAGGAAGAAATAAATGAAAGGGAAAGAAAATCTAGTTCAGGTTCAAGCACAAGTGAAAGTTTAAGGCCTTTATCTGCTAGGGCGGCTGAAGGAAACCTGATAATTTTGGAAGATAACGTGAAAGGCAAAGAAGATGACGTTCAAGCAGATGGAGAAGATGCTTTCACAGATGAGAGGCTGATGGAACAGTGGGAAATGAACGTTGATGATGAAGCAGTTCCAACTGGACGAGAAAGTCCCGAGTCAGCCCATGCACTGCCTGTCAGCACTCCAGTGATGCCCAGTGCACGGAGAAAGCAGCCTTCAATCCACACAAGGTATCAGCTTAACCCTTTAAATCCCAGGAGTGACCAACACTTATTTTCTCTGAACAATATCAGTACATTCGCTCAAAATTCCCAGCATAAGTAATAACAACGTATAAATGATGGAGGTGTAATGTTTTAGGGCTCAAAAAAGGTGACCATTTAAGCTCACTTGCCCAATGTAGGGGCGTAGCGTGAGATTTTTAAGGCGTACGCACGCGGGGAAGAAAAGTTGTAGTGCCGAAGGCGGCCCAACCTAGGGGGGTCTTGGGCTTGCTTCCCCTTAATTTAGGGTCTCGGAATTGCCATCTCCATCGTTTTCCGCAGGACATTTTCAGGAAATTAATATGCAGGAAAATGCAGTAGTTAGTTGTTTATTTTACCCATCTCTAGTGTCATCGGTAAAGTACAGTGTTTACGGAAAAAAGGGGCCAGTGACGCCATCAGCATTATTGAATAATAAAAGGTCAAAAAAATACTAACTCAAAGACACCAATATAGTTGGAAAAATGTATCAGTCATCCCGATTTAATGATGAAAAAAAGGCTTTTTCAGGGAATAAACAGCATATAATTTTTCCATATTTCATGACATGTAAGCACGAGTGTATGTGCGTATATGGACACTACGCTCCTGCAATGGGCAAGTGTCCAGGCAAACCATCTTCAAACTAAATCATTAACCCTTTAAGCCCCAATATCCACATACAAATTCTCCTGACTGATCTCCATACATTTCCTTAACGAATTAGTTGAGAGAATTTGATAAAAGATCACCTTCGGTGATCATTTTATTGATTTTCATAATCTTTTCTGTTAGTGACGTATTAATATTGTTAGGAGAAAATTGATGTTGGTCACTGTTAAGACTTAAAGGGTCAACTAGCACAAGCACTGAAGGAATGGCCCTCGGCATGTACGTGAGAGGTGTTTGACAAGAGGACAAGATGGAATTCAAGCTTTTTTTGAGTCCTGCTTGTGATTCTTTGGATGATGTTCTAAAATTTGACCATTCAAATGGAAGCTCTTCTGCTGTACTTTCTCTAGTGTGCTTGTTTTTTGATAGACTGCAAAATGAAATCCTGGATTTCTTGTGAATATTGGTGTGCATCAGTTTGATATACGTGTTTCTTCAATATGAATTATTATTAGTGGAAAATTTCATCGCAAATGTTTGCAAAATTTTTTTTCTATTTTAGTTTTGTCTCTACTCCTGTTTCTGCACTGGATATTCCACCACAGACTATTCCAGGAAGCAGTGTGGTAAGAAAGAACTAATTAACAATTATTCCTTGAGGCCAAATAGGCTGTGAGTCAATAGCCCATGAGACCGAAGGCTGAATGGGTTATTGACTCAGAGACCACGAGGGCGACAGGAATAATTGTTTTAGTAAAATCCAACTAGTTGGTCAAAAATATCGAGACAAAACAACTTTAGCTAGTTAAAGTTAGACTTAAATCCTTTTTTGCCGCCAAAAAGCCCGCGCGTTTCGCTACTAGTGGGCTATAACATATAGCCTAGTAGTAGCTCAACCAATGAGAATGCAGCTTTGATAATAGACCACTAGTTGGATTTTACTAACAACTTATAGTTAAACTTCATTAAGCGGCCACTCTCCATTAATCGGCCAGTTATCAAAATCCCAAAATAATTGTTGAAAAGAATAGGAAATTAATGATGAGGCTGTTGTTTTTGGCAAAAATTAAATTTCATTAAGAGCATTCAATGGCTGTATCAAGGAGCAAATATTCCCTAGTAGAAATTTCTAAAGTTCATGAAAGGCTTTAAATTTCAGCACAACTTTCCATTTTTCTGAGGTATCCAGAGTTTTTCTACTTTAACCTATCTAAGGTTTTTGGAGGTCGTGTTTTTTATATTTTATTACCAAGATATTTCGAAATGAAATATGCTACGGGAATGGAAACTTGTACAAAGATTTATTTTTTGTTTATCTTCAATCTAGTGTAAATAAGAATTCGTAAAACCTCGCTGTTTTGACTTTACAATTTGACGACGTCACTGTGAAAAACATCTTTTGTTTAAAAAAGTCTCCTTAAAATATCACTATAAATACCAAAAGTCCCCAAGAATCATCCTCAGAACTTTCGACTATTTGAGACACTTCTGACTCACCGGTATTTAGAAACATTCGGTTGTTGGGTGCCCCCGCTTTGTAGCCAGCTACTAGTAAAACTTAACAACAATTACATGTACTGAACAGCGAAACAAGTTCCTTTAATGACCCGTTAATTAAAAGTCTGTCATGTAAATGTTTTAGGATAATAGTATCTTGTCATCCATTGGTGAACTGGTGAGTTTGGTCAAGGCCCAACAGAAGGACTTACAAGAACTTCAACAGCGGCTGGACCGATACCAAGCTGCCCAACAGCAACAGGTGGCAACAGTGTCAAATGAGGTTCAAATGATTGAAGAGAGAGTGTCTGGCAGACTACAAAGGACTCTTGCTGACTTCTCTAAAGAGGAATGTATCCTTCATCCAGTGTTCTGTCATAAGGTTGCCAGGACTACAGTTTCGACACCTGCTTAAGGTGTTTTGCTAGAAGGTATTCTAGTCAACGCCCCAGTTGTTCAGAAGGTGAATAACGCTATCCACCGGATAAATCTCTATCCACTAGGTAGCGCAGTTGGTGTCCTCAATACTTATGCACTGGAAAGTGATTTATCCGGTGGATAGCGTCATTCAGCTTTTGAACAAACGCGACTAGGAGTGGAGCTTTTAAGCTGTGATGACAATTTTTGCTGCTTTTGTCAAGACACTGCATTTCTTTTCTCATTTTCTGATCAGGTATAGTGCTCATTCATTGAAACCCTAGGAACGTTTTTTTGCTTTGTGATCAGCTGTTCACTGCATGAATTACAGACAAGGCTAACTCAACAGTCTTGAGTGAAAGACGTGCTTCCCAAAATAAATAATACAACACTGCACTTAGGGAACAGCAAATGTCCTTTCCAAAAGTAGCACCGGACGAATTGTCATCCTGTTGAAAGTTTGTGTGCTTAAGAGTTCTGTTCACATGGAACCACCTTATCCCTACGAAAATTGAGATGCCTAGGCAAACTATGGCCTAAAGTTCTGTGTGAACACAGCGTAAATATTGAATGGTCCCTTGTTCACGAAGTCTTCTGCCAAATTTTTTAGCCAGTCGAAAATTCGTTCCGATGCCTTGGGAACATAGCTTGATTCATGGATCACAATATTGTGCCAGTGATATCTCACCAGTCTTGCTTTCTTTGATCGATTTTTATTAGTTGTAAGTTCTAGGGTTTTCAAAAGGTTATTGGGAAGATACTTTCTTTAACCAACCTCATAGCCCAGCGTCTAGATAAAGCTCTACGCGAGAAACATTCCGGAGATAAGAAAAGACAGGAGCAACTGCAGAGTACTTTATCACAAGTGCTAACCACAACCTTGTCAGGAAAACTGGACAAAGCAGTCAAAGCTGAAGTTAAGAGTTCTGTTGTACCTACAGTACAAAAAGTATTGAACTCCATACAGGAACAACTTAATACTACACTGGCACAGGTGGGTAATGATCGGCTAAGATGCTCCTGAGCCACAGGTAATCCAACTCTTCTTTACCCCATTCAGAAAGGGCCCGAAAAAAGTCCCATACGTTAGTCTAGGACGAGTAGATCTTCTTGCTGGGCAAGTTGCTCACTTGCCCCCTGGCAAGTTATCCTCTAACAAAATCACTAACCACGATAGGCACTGAAGTAGTTGGCCCGGGCAAGAAAAATGGTGAGGGCTGCTTGCCCGAAAGATGTGCTGGAATTCAGGATTCTTTCGAGCCCTGGTCACTGATAAGGAATTCAACTTTTTTTCGAGCCTTTGTCACTGATTAGGGTAATCAGAGTATGAATGGGAAAAAAGAGGAGACTTCATTAATAGTGAAATACAGAAATATAGTAGTGCACAATAGTACTGGCTAGGAGGTGGAGGGTGGGGGCTTCATTCTGAACTGACTAGCTTCGAAGGAACCCGAAAGCGACCACCGCATGTAAGAGATCTTCAAACCTTGGCTTTTTGGGTGGCTGCTTGTTGGAGGTTAGACTGTATTACTGCTTTCCCTGGACTGGACACTGGTTCATCCCTACATTATGTTGCAGATGCCCTGGCATTTATACCCATTTTGCAGTGAATTAAGAATAAACAACAGGGGTTCAGTTGAGTTCAGTCAAGAGCTCATGGTTCAGTTCGTTTTGTCAGCAATACACTTGTTGTGAACGTTTTAGTATTCTTCATGTCGTGCATTTGAGGGAAAGAATAAGTCTGAGTTACAACGGGATTCATGCTATCGCCCAAACAACAGTGTGGATGCTCTTAGCTGTAGCCTGCAGTGTAGGCGTTTAAGGGGGAGGAGGGGGGATAGGAAAGAAAACAGCACAATTTTGTACCCCTTTCCCCTGGTACTATCCACTTTTTCCCCTTTCACCCTGGTGTTTACTCTTGATATTCCCCAAATTTTGCTCTCCTTAAAAAAAATCAAAGATGGCGTCTGCAGGAAAACTGAATGATCATTCACCCGAAAAATATGCATGTACCAAAGGCTACCTAAGCTGCGGAGGAACTCGTGGTGCACCAAGCTATCTACTAGTAAAATGTAAAGTAATAAAATCAGAAATGTTTCTTTAAGATAGAGACTTTCCCTGTAGCTTTCTAGTTAAGTTGTATCCCTGCTAATTTTGGTTTTCTTGATAGAAACTAACAGCTGCTGATACTGTTTTAAAGGAGAGTATTGCAAAAATGGTCAAAAGCAAGGTATGATATGCAAGAAACGAAACACGTTTGGACCGAAGCGGTCAGTTTATAAACAGATGGATAATGTGATCCTTACTATTGCGTTTTGTGGTTTTCTGAACAGGGTGTGGTCGATGCAATAGGTGGTGCTGCAGCCACTGCATTGCAGGGCCCTATTCAGGTCACTTATCGTGAAGCATTCCAGAGCACCATTCTGCCATCCTTTGAGAGGGCCTGTCAGAACATGTTCCAGCAGATCAATGAGTCTTTTCATAAAGGAACTCAGCAATGTAAGTTTTGATCTGTTCTGCGGGATTGTTTATTGCGTTATAATTGGGCAGCTTCAATCCCTGGCTATGACCTTCAGTTAGATTGTTCATTTGAAAAACATACTAAGATACTGGCATTTGCTGAAGGGAGTGTTTGACAGTCCCAACATTGACTGTCAAACAAAAGTTGCGACGACTGGATGTCTTTAGGTATTAGAGAGCTTTAGTTTCTAAGACGAGAACGACTATGAATACGAGATTTTCTTAATAGTACACGCACGTGACCCAGCGTCATTTTGGCGGGAAAATGTTGTAGCCGTCGTCATTGTACTACGAGTTTTAGCGAGAGAGTCGTAATGGCAGGATCAAGTTCTCAGATGTTAGAAGTAATGGCATTTTGCAATCGGGAGAGGGCTCACCGTCTTTCAATAACGATAACAGTGTTAACTTTTCTAGTGAAAAATGGTAAAATGAAGCTTTCCGGGGAGTCTATAATTTGAGAATACGCGAAAAAACTCTAAATCAAATCTTGTACTCGTAGTCGTTCTCGTCCTCCAATCTAGAGGTCTCTATTAACTCTCAAAATACCATAAACAGCCATTTATAAACCTCTTCCTAACTGATAAGTCCCTCCAGTTCTAGGCTCATCTTCCTGTTAACAACAAAAAAATACATCTGATTATAAGCCAATCCAGATATAAGCCCCGCCCCCTTCCCGCCCCTCTCTAGCTTATCTTGAAATGAATTCGACATATTGTGATGTTATGACCCTCAAGTAAAAACCAGTAAATACAGAACGTATTTTTATCAGTTCTGCTATAGCCTGTTTGGAAGCACTTTTTCTATACCGTTTATAAGCCGTCTTGAACATACGCTTCTCTGTTTATAAGCCCTCCTCAATCCCCGTACGAAGAAATATTAGCCCAGATTTTATAATCGGCAGTTAACGGTATCACATTCTTATTACAGACCTACAGCAGGTGACGACTGCATTGGATAATCGTAGAAGAGAAGAAAGAGAATCTGTTAACCCTGTTATGCAACAGCTAGAGGCACAGACCAAGTCATTCCAAGCCATGACAGAGAGACTAACATCAAACATCATGGCTGACTTTGAGGTCATGTTGCAGAAACAGCTCAGTTCATCAATAGAAGGGTACGATAGTTTTAGGATAATGTGTTCTGTAAAACGGGTTTGCTACCACCTGTGCGAATCGGTTACAAACTGTTCAATCCTTAATTGAACAGTTGGGGCAAACAGGGTCGACTCCTCAAGTTAAACGTCTTAACCCTTTAGGTCCCAAAGGTGACCAACATCAATTTTCTCCTAACAACATCAGCAGATCATCAAGAGTAAAGGTTATGAGAATTACTGAATTGATTACCAAAGGGAGATCGCCTTGTTTTTAAACCAAATTTTCTCAACTATTCTTAAAAGAAATAAGGAAATCAGTCTGAAGAATTTGTATGTGGATCTTGGGGGTTGAAGGGTTAATTGTTATCCAAACGTTGAGGGCAGACTAAGATAGAAGTTACTGTTTATAATAAGTTTAAGCACCTTTCTTCATCTCACCTCAGCTATCATCTTTGTCTCGCGTGGCACTTAAGGGCTCCATAAAGTGTTTCCACTTTTCAGGGTTAACTGCTATGGTTCTCGTTATTGTGAGGACCCGCCACAGCATTCTCTTTATTACATGAATTCCCCCTGCTTCTGGTGTTGGTAATAACAGGGTTTTATGGGAGAGGCTTATCAGCCCTTTGCCCAATTCCAAGTATAGTAACTTTAGCTTTTAAGTGTAAACTCACCCTCCTTGGAAACCATCCGAATTTTGTTGGGGCAGCCTTGTTTCTCTTTTCATGTGACTGATTCTGAATATTTGCCTTCCTATTTACCTCAATCTGGAGGACTGCAGAGGATCACACTTACTGTGGTCTCTACTCTTCGACCTGTCGGCATGAGTGGTTTTTGAAATGATGGATAGTGCTATCCACCAGATTAATCTCTGTCCTGCGGATAACGCAATTGATTTTCGCAATACTTATCCGCTGGATAGTGATTTATCCTGTGGAAAGCGCAATCAAACTGGAGCAAGGAGTCTACGACCCAGTCGACCTCTTTGGGTCATTAGGCTGATTTAGCAACACAACGGGAGCGGCAAATTGGGTACCGGAAGTCGTGTTTAGTCCTTTCTGCCCGCTTTCCCGTCGCCAACTGACGTTCCCGTCATGTTGCTAAATCAGCCTATTGACTTACGCAAACCACTCCATCACGCTAAGGTGATCATCCCTTCGGATCGGAAATCAGTTTCATACAATGATGGAATTTCTAATTTCCCATCGTAGGTTGCGCGAGGAAATATTTTCACGCCTCTTGTCAGAGGTCTTAGCTTCAGTGCAAGACTCGGTTCAAAAGGAAATGGGATTGGGCCTAGAAGGGCTCCGTCAACAGCTTAGTGAAATGATAGCTACCTCAGTGGAAAGCTCCACCCAGCAGGCTCCTGATCTGGCGCGCACTCAGGTAGGTACCGGAGAGCAACATTGTAACAGCGCAGTTCCCTTCCCCCACCCCCCGCGTTTCCGTTTGCTTTAAAGTCAAAGGGAAGAAGCACAGAAGAAGCCCGGAAAAGGTGAAAAAAATTGAATTTGGGAGGGGGGATCGCGACGGCTATTTTTTGCTCATTAGGGTCCGGCTGTGCAGAAAAGAGGACGGAAAGTTCAAGCGATTTGCTAGAGCAGTAGTTACTTGCCGACACTGATCGATCCGAGAGATACGTTTATTTCGCTCAACGCACTGTTTTACAGTTAACTACAGTTAAGAGAAGAGTCCACCAGTCCTTGTTAAATGTGAGCATTGGACAATTCTCTATTATGTAGTATTTGTCAAAGCACACAAAGCGAATCAGCGTGGCTTGGGATTTTTCACGACCACCGGATATGGAAAGATAAATATGTGAATTTGGGGAAGGGGTGGCAGCTGCTATTTTCTAGCTCGTTCTCTCTAGCCTCCCGCGCCTCTCCAGCTTGGCGAAAAGAAAAAAGGAAATGACTGTTACGCAGGCTACCCTCGACCCTCCTCTTACCTCCCCCCGGGAGACAAAAATGGGGATATCGTGAAGACATTTTGAGAGTTGAAGTGACTTCGTTTCTCTCTGCAGGTGTTGGTTTCACAGTTGCTGGAATCTGGACAATTGGGCCAAGCCTTCCAAGAGGTATTGGAATTACGTTCGGTTTGTTATTGAAATGTTCATGTTGTTTAATAAATGGTGTTGATGAGTATGTTCATCATCATCATCATTACCGTCGCCATAGCAATGGTTATCATTATCATTATACCCTTCACCTATTAGAGACCTTTAGATTCGAGGACGAGAACGACTAAGAGTACGAGATTTGACTTGAAGTTTTTTCGCGAATTCTCAAAATATAGACTCCCCGGAAAGCTTCAATTTGCCATTTTCACCAGAAAATTTAGCACTGTTACCTTTAGTGAAGGAGATTACACCCTCTCCTGATTACAAAATGATAAAAATTCTAACATTTGATAACTTGTTTTCCCGACTTCGACAATCTCGTAGTAGAGTGACGACGGTTACCAAGTTTTCCCGCCAAAATGGCGTTGGTTCACGCGTGAGCACTACTTATTATTGAGAAAATCTCGTACTGGTTTTCGTACTCGTCTTAGAATCTAAAGGTCTCTAATTCCATCTTCACTACCATCATCATCACCATTGTCATCGTAACCATCACCACCATCACTACCACCATCATCATCACCACTATCACTACCACCATCATCATAGTCACCACTACTACCCATCACCATCATTGTCTTCAGCTTCCTTACCTTAACCACCATCACCGCCACCATCTCTTCGGAGTCTTCGTCATCACTATGACATCATCATCGTCATTTTTGACCACTGTATATTTTGTTGCAGGCCTTGACAGCATCAGATCTGAATATCGTCATGTACGTTTGTGAACAAGTGGATCCTGAGAGTGTGTTTTCTCAGTCACCTTGTCCCTTATCGCAGCCTGTCTTGCTGTCTTTGATACAACAGCTGTCAGTAGATCTTACCGTTAACACGGAGCTTAAACACAAGTGAGTCTTAATAGTTACAAGTTTGTTGCTTACGCAACAGGACGGCAGAAAGAAGTGGACGGCAAAACGTTTTTGTGTGACAGGGCTGTTACTTGCTTGTTTTGGTGTGATATACACTTAATGTAACTGCATTTAACTGTCTTTACGAAATGTCTGTTCAGAGGAAGGAGAAGTTTGGTGGAAACGTTTTTCAAACATTTTTATTGTCACGCTTGTGACACAGCGTTTACCATCTTCTTTCCTTTGCCCCCCTTCCGTCCTTATGCGTAAGTTAACAACGTTTAAGTTGTGGTAAAGCATCAAACATAAAAATAATCGGCTTTTGATTCGGCCCGAAACCAAAGGATTACATAGCTAGATATGGTCAAAAGATGGGGTGTTAGCTAGAAATAATGTACTGAGGTTATACAGGCTGCGCTTTAACGAGACTGTTCAACTTTGTAAACGCGGCATATAGACTTCTGTTATGGCTTCGGAACACACGTGAACGACGAAAACGATCGTCGTTAATATCTCCAGATAACTGCTTTCTGACCCACCGTTGGCGGCAAATTCAAGACCTTGTGAGAGTTTTTTTTTAGTTATTTAAGTTAAGGCGACATTGGGTATTTTCATTTCAGACGGTCCGCATTCAACCAGTCAATTGTATCCTTCCCTTCTGTTCAATTGACAGGTACATAGAGGAAGCGCTCATGTCACTAGACACCACTGATGAAGTGACAAGAGAGCACATGCCCGCAGTTCTAGAAGGACTGTGTAAACAGCTACAGTCTGCCATCCAAGAAGCAACAGGTCCTATGCAGCGCTCTCTCAAAATGCTACAGATGGCTGCAAGATCATTGTTAAGATAACTTAGCAAGCAGTCAGTGTTGTGCCACGGAAGCACAGTGGACCACCCGTGTGGTTATGTCGAGGATGTACCTCAGAACAACCAAGATGAGTTCAGGTCTGAGGAGAAGAGACTGGCCAGCAAGAGGACCACATCCTGTGATGACCAATAACTAATACGAACTAATACGACTAATGTTAAAAGTTAGTAATTTTGTGTTTCGTTGGAAGATCTAAAGCAGCTAGACTTCTCAGGACTTTTTTTTGCCATGGTTTTCATGTTGTGTTAAACATACTCAAACTGTCTAACCGCGTTAAACTTAATTCAAGCAGGTTTTAGAAAGTTTATAACTGTCTACGAGCTCAGGTTCAGTTACACCACGATATACTAGGTTTTCAAGGCTGTTTTATTTTTGTAACACACTGGTAATAAAGAATGGAACTGAGCCTTAAACTCTTGAATTTCATTTTCTTACTCGAATTCTCAAGTTGTGTAAGGAAGGAAGGAAGGAAGGAGTCATGAGTCATGGAAGAGAAGACAACAGACGTGCCCTCTTTACAATATATATTATAGGGACCTTAAGATCCGACGACGGCGACAGCAACGGGAACGCCACAAAAGCAATAGGTTTAATAACCAAAACAACAATTTTGCACGTGCATCACGCTTTTTTGTACATTTCTTTGCCGTCCCTGCACGACTACGACGTGAAAATGCCTAATTTCACGATGTACAGAGGAAGTACACAAGCGACGACGAAATTTCCCCTCTCTCTCTCTCTGAACTTGGATATAGTTCTTGGGAATTCAACTTAAGGAGGGTTCGCCTACATTTGACAAAGTTAGTGACTTGGAGTTATCGCGATGAAGATTGAAAGAACGCGAATTCACTTTTTCAACGACGTTTTCTCTGCAGTCGCCGTCCTCGGATCTTAAGGTCCCTATTAATATATGAACAGTGAGCTCGGACGTCAGCATACAAAGGCGCCACTGGTAGCGCTCTAATTCCATTTATGAGCTTACTCTACCCACCCAACCCATGATGTGAATGATGTGTGAAGGTTGGCCACACCACCAGGGTCTACGTCCCCTACTCTTTCGAAGGGTTGATTTCCAGAGTCGCGTAATTTTTACGTGCGCAAAATTTACGTTTGCAAATAAAATAGAGGCAATGCATGAAAGGTCGCTCGTAAGCGTAAAAGTTGAACCTCGCTCAACTTCTCGTTCAAGCTTAGCACTTTTTATCTTGTCTCTATTTTATTTACAAGATTAAAATTTACATGCACTAACGTGACAGAAATTCCTGTTTCATTTCAATACCCCACGCTCAAACATGACTTCGAGGCTTTAGGGACAAAATTGCAAATTTTTCACGACTTCATTCTCTCCAAGCCATCTTTGATACCAGTTTCAGGCCTTCGCGGCCGTTTTTTGGTAAATGGAACTGATTTGTGCAAATGGTAAACGCGATTCCAGGACGATACCCATTTGCCTAAACCGTGAACCGATCGGTTTTCCCATGTACAGCTGTAAATGGTAAACAACCGACTTCTCCGTTTTTCAAACAAAAACGAATACGTGTTGACGGAACCTAAATCTATTGCTGTTATTTTGAAGTTCTCGTTGCCGTCGTCGTTTTAAGCTCCCTAATATCAGCCTCTTCTTGTCGTTTTGACTAAACGCTACACAACCAACTTTCTGCCATCTTTGTTTAATGCCGTTTCAAAAAAATTTTTATTGTATATTGTACATTTAGACTGTTTCCAGTCCTCTATTTGGGTTTCCTTGTCTAAAGGAACAGTCTATTCAAACAAATTATGTAGTGCAAGTTGTTTTGAAGTACAGTTCATCACGAGAGCATGAAATAAGTAATTGAAGAGCTAATCGAAAAACGGTGACAATTTTGCAGTGACATACAGAATAACTTTCTCTCATCACATAATAAAAATAGAAAAACGTCACTCGCACCATTTTGCTACTCAACCCTTCAAAAATAATCCCTAAATGTTACTGAGAATGAAATGACATTGCTTTCCTATTTAAAGTAGAATAAATTAAGCGAAAATCTCATTCCCTCACGTTACTCACGTAATATGGAAAGTGGTTACCTAATAACCAACTTAAGTTACAAAAACTTTATGCTTGAGTTTTTCGAATGGATGAGTTCAGAGGTCAACTTGTTTTTTAACATTTCGTTTTAAAACCTCAGCAACTTTTTCTTCAAACTTCTCTTTCGCACGAACCCAAACTGGATAAGAATCCACCTAAAAAAGGACAAAAAAGGAAAAAGACAATCACAAATAGTTAGCAAAAAAATAGATACTTTTTGTCTAAAAAGCACTCAGCCGAATTTAAAGGGCTTGAACACTTGACTACCTACGAGTTGCCAAAGTAATTTTTAATAAAAACTTGCTCAATGAAATGGGCTTTTATCACAGGAATTAGCCTCTATATTTAATGACTGATTTCAGCACCACATGTAAAAGAAAACTCAGAGAAGTTTTCTATGGAACTATAATGGAGTTTTATTTTCTAAATATTAAGTGAAGATAGGTTATGGCATAAACCTTCTAGAAATAACCGCAGGATGGGCTGGAAATGATTGATTACTATTTAGAAAAAGTTTGCGGAAAATCTGATTGGAAAGTAAATGGATCACACCTTTTTGGGTCATACCGGCGGAACTCCGGGAGCAGCGGAACATCAGGAAAGGTTTTTCCATATGGAATGTTGCTCACGGAAATTCGAGTCCCATCGTTTGATACTAATTTCAAGCCTTCGCGGCCGTTTTTCGATACATGGAACTGAATTGTACAGATGGTAAACGCAATTCCGGGACAAAATTTACCAGTCCTGAATTTTACTTACCATTTACACAAAACGTGAACCGACCAGTTTGACAAGTAAATGGTAAACAACAAATAATCTTTTCACCGCACTACCCAACTTTACAGCGAGACAGCTCAAGGCACTGCCTAATAGATTGTTTTACTCACTATAATTCAGTTTTTACGAATCAAACACAAAATACAGTTAGGATATTTTTTCTAGATAACTACCTCAGGAAGTTTTAAAAGATATGGTGTTATGCTGTCAGCAAAAAGAACTGTGCTTTCTCTTGGCAACAGAGAGGGTAAGTTATCAATGGCCACAAGGTCCAAAGGTTTGGTACAATTTCTGTAAGAAATAATAAATAGAACTTAGTGTCATGGTGATTTAAAATGGAGACGAGAACAACAACTACCTGTTACTTAAAAAAACCCTGTAATACCTTTGGTAAGACCCTGGGGGGAGGGGGCACTCCGTTATTTGACGTAGACGGATATGTGCTGTTGAACTGAGTACGGTTTTAAGGGTCTTGAATCTTAAACAGGGTATACAATTTCACTCTTCAGCATCTTTAATAGGATAGGTTTTTGAACCCAATGCCTTTAAAGGAGTGTTAAAAAGGCTGCAGATGAGCGGTCTACATTTGTGGCACCAACAATAAAAAATTTAAAAAAATTCTTTTTTCCAAAAAATTTAGTTCCATGAAATTACCTAATTCTGTAAGCAAAACGAAACGAGTCATGGTCATAAAATAGAGTCTTTCGTCTTAAACAGGGTAGCAAAATGAGTAATTTTTGTCTTCAACAGGATTAGGTTTCAAAGGCCTTGGTGGCTGACACCTCTACACAAACTTCCCTTGAGTGGCTTCTCCCTCCCCCCCCCCCAACCCCCCCTGCGATATTAAGCACAAAGGTGCGTGGTTTCAGACATTAGAAAAAGAAATTCAAAGCTATGCGGGAAATTGTTAGAATGACTTTATGAAATGAGAGTAAAGTTTAAAGAAAACTATCATCTTCCAGGGTGGTTGGAAACACCAAGAAGAATTGTGTAACAAATGTGCTACATTTACTTTTACAACTGTACATTCTTTACAAAAAAAAGACAAACTGTTGCATGCCAACCTGAGTTGTAGCCGCCTGCTGGGATTTTGAAATGTGGTAATGGAATCCAAGAATGGCAGAGGATTGTTTGGGTTGCTGACATCACAACTAACATCAACCACTACAGAGAGATTCCTGCAGTGAGAAATAGTGCAGTTTTAAAGGGACATTTTGAAAGAATGTTTTTTGTTTGTTGTTATATTCTCATTTCTCCATGTAACAGAAGTACTTACTTATATAAAGTATAAGAAACTAATTGCAAAGACTCCAGATTGCCATACACAATGTAAGACTAAAATGCAACTATGAAAGAGTCGATTTAAGTATTCCAGAAGAGGAAAATTACATGTAACTGAACATCCGTGGTCGTTCTCAAAATTAACACTTTTGTTAGCTGTGAGTTTGTTCATCTTTGAAAAGAACTGACTTGGAAAAATTAGTTGATGAAAAGGTGTAGAGCAGAAATCAAGAAATAGTGAACACACAAATATCAGTCAACAATACAAAATGGAAAAATATAATGTGAAATTAAAAGGCTGGAAATATTACGATCACAATTACTGGTAACAGGAACAGGAAAAGTATGAATACATCCCAGTAAAAACCATTGCAGTTTTACTTGAGCTTTGTGGAGAAATTAGTCTGCTACACAGCCGCTTTTAGTGTCGTCACGCAACGCTCCTCCCCACTAACGGCTGCTGAAAGCCGAACTACATTCCTTTCCCTTTGTGTTTGTGGTCTAACAAACAAACCAATCATGTACAAGAAATTTGACAATACGTGAGCCGCAGGGCGCTAGGAAGCAAGCACGCTTCTCAGTTTTCGACAAATCAATCAATCATCGCTGAATTTAGACGGGCTCTGTGTTTTCAAGCAACGAAAAGGTTAATTTGCAAAAAAGTTTGTATTAAGCGGTCAACAAAGTTCCAAGTGAAAAAAAAGGTTTGATAGGCCTAGAAGACTTTTACCAGGATTGGTTGGTTCTTCATTTAACGTGCATATATACTGATACGCAATGAAGAATTTAATGTACCAGATGTGCTCATTGTGTTCCTGTGAAGACTAAACTCTCAAGGGTACTGATTCAAAAAGCAACCTTATAAATTATCGATGAGCAATTTCCCGAAACTATACCTGGCAACTTTATGAGCACATCCATGTTGTGCATCGCAATTTGCTCGACTTGCTTGCTGTTGCTGCTTATCTCCTAAATTTTGAATAGGACTCGACTACGACAACACTGTAGTAAATTGCTTGTTTTCACGCGACGATTTTGATTATTCTGTCATTCACAGATGGGGCAATGATAAAAGCAAAGCTGTGATTGGAGGAGTCACAGTACTGCAAAGGTGGCATGAACACCTTCCAGAAAATGGGAGCTAAATTATAATTGGCTAATCATGGGAAAGGAATGTAGTTCGGTTTTCAGCAACCGTTAGTGGGGAGGAGGGTTGCGTGACGAAACTAAAAACGGCTGTGTGTAGCAGACTATGGAGAAATAGGACTGCTAGCACTTTTTTTTACCATAATTCTTTCATTTTGAGAGTGAATGTGATAAGAAACTTCTGTGAGTGAGGTTATTTTTTTTGCACAAGCTGTCTGTGCTGTTATTCACCTCTGATCGGTGTCCAGCACCTTCCTTGTGAGAAATGGAGGAATTTTCTGCAAAGCAATTTTCTGATCAAGCACATGAACGTATACCCTACGTAAAATTAACTGTAGCTGGGATTAAAATTTCTAGTATACATGTATGGTCTCCAGGAGATTAGAGGCCTTCTATTTGCAAGTCTTTGAATATGATCAGGTCCTCCATAAAAATCCTGGAACCAACGGAATTAAATCTCACGCTTTTGACTCAAAAAAAGTTAGAAGTTAAATCTAAATATGCCTTTTTTAGCTCAGTGGGAGATCCAGGGGTTCTAGCCCTCTTACCCTGCCCTTCCTTCCTTAATTCCTGCCATTAATGACAATACCATATCATAGATGGGTACAATTTTTTTTCACCAATTTCAAGGCTTTGAAACAGAAATTGCACCACAGAATAGCCACATACACCATGCATCTGATAGTTTCTAAAAGAAGGTTTGCTAAGCATCTTGACTCTTAACCATAGAAAAGTGATAAAGAAAAAGTGTCGCTTGCGGTAACCTCATTTTAAGAAAATTAGGGGCAAGGGTGGGGGTGGGGGTGGGGGTGCCATTTGCTAGCTTAGCTGGAGAAAAGTTGGCTTATTTGGGAACTGCGGGAACTTATTCAAGGCAATGTGATACTCAGGTCCTACTACATTATTGAACCTGTGTAAAGCTTAAAGGCTGGAGATCGGAACAAATTAAAGTGGATTTAATAAAATTTAAGAAAAGTTTAATGTTATAATGTATGCGTCAAAATCTGACTAACATAAGTTCTTATCAAGCATGAGCCACATAATAATTATATTGTTAAGACAAAATATTAGTTTAAATTTTCCTTGACTTGGGTGACAACATTCACCTCATGGGTACTGGAAGGTGCATAACTGGATGTGAGAGATTCATTTAATATGATTGCAATACCCACAAAAATCAGAATTATAGCTTTTTGTATAAATTTAAATTGATCAATTTTTACTGTACCTTTGTTAACTTGATGTTGTTGACAAAAATGTCATACTGTAGAATTCCCTCAAATGGTCCCCCGGCTTTTGTTTCATTAATGTCCCATTTTGCAATGTGCGTGCTGTCAAAAATTATATATAATTTTTCAATAATAAGGGCAAAACAGTTTCTGCCACTAAGACCCATCAGGGTTTTCATTAAGAATGCTAGTAGCAGGAGAAAGGTGTAACCAGTTACAGCAGGATATTGTGAAAGAAGCAACATGTCTGAACAAAAAATAGTCACGGGCTATCACACATTAGCTGGAGAAGTAAGTGTAGTAAACGGTGAATTCTTCGATCTCCGGTGCCTAATTAATGCCCTGAACCCCTACTGTAATAGCCCACGTTCGATATACTAAAATCTTAACAAGAATATGAGGCTTTAGGGTTAAAATTGCAAATTTTTCATGACTCCATTGTCTTGCAATTCCCAGAAGAGACTTGAGCACAAAGAAAACCAAGCCAAATATAGAAAAATGACCAGAGAGCCTCGGAGTCATGTTAGAATTTTAATATACTGAATGTAGGCTATTCATTACTGGAGACATTCCTGTGTACCTTGGTATTCCTACTTTGTAAGCCATATCCAATGCTCCTTTACCACAGCGTCCTAATGCACCTATAACTACTATGCGAGGGTGGCAATCTGGAAGACCTTGGAAAAACAAAGAGAGATAAGTGCACTTTCACGCACATTATAATAATATAATATAATTATTGTACAATCACTCTAAATTAGTTGTAAACCTCTCATTGGCTTATACACATTAAAGTCAAAACATTTTCAATATTAAACATACTTATAAACATTAATGATTAATAAAATATAAAGAAACAAAGAGTAGTGGTTCTTTGTCTACCGCTCCTAGTCGAATTGGAATTTGGAAATGTTGATGTTTGAGGAGGGGACTAAACTGGAGTGCCTGGAGAAAAACCTCTCAGAGTATTAAGGGGAGAACCAACAACAAACTCAACCCCCATATGGTGTCAATACTGGGATCTGAACCCGGGTAACACATTGCCGGGAGGCGAATGCCCTCACTGCTGACTGCCACCCTAGCTTCCCTAATGATTGAGAAAAAAGGCACAGGCTGGAACAGGTCAAAATGACTACATTACATCACAGCTGTATGTGAATAATAAAATATTAGGCATTTCGTTTTACAAGCTGGACCTGGATTTTAAGATAAACAATGTTTGCTTTCAAGTCGGCTGTGAAGTGGTTAATTACTGTCAGATCAGAGATAAACATTCATATTGTGGACAGATTATTGGAAAGATTATGTCAACGCAGATGCCATCTTTTTCAATTTATCACTTTCTCAAAGTTGTAATTTTTGTTGTGTGACTATTTTAACTGCAGTCATTCAGGGTAGTTACTTATTTTTGATGTAGATGAGGATATAGTAAAAGTAGCTCTTACAGGTCAAAATTTGATGCCTCCAAGCCCTAATTAGTCATGAATTAGGATTAGGACAAGCACACAAAGGAAAAATATGAGAATCAACCTTGGTTTAAAAAATTTAACCCAAATTTAATTTTGACCTGTAACATGGCCACATCAACCATTATCTATATTAATGAGTTACTATACCTTTTGCCTTGGAAACATTTTGAAGCATCATCTTCACATCATTTACCAATACTTTTTCATTATCATAAGGCTCTAAAGATGGCATTGAACTGTGAGGGCTGAAAAGCGCAATGAAAAGTCCATAAATTTCAATCACTAATTCACCAAAGAAAGCTGGAGATTCTTTACAGGTCACATTCAACATTGTCATGTAAATAGAACTGAACAATGTTTAGGGGGTTTAGGGTTTTAAGCATTGCAAAACATCCAACACAGGGTTTAGGTTGAATATATTTTCTTATGCAGCTCTTCCAAACTCAGTGTGATTGGATGGGGGACGGAGGGGAGAGGAAACAAGAATAGGTTGATACATGCCTTAATTGTTGAAGGCACCATGCTTTGAGACCAACAGCCATTCCTGAAAAACCAGCCAGATGAGGAAATGTTGCAACTAGTCGTCTATCTGAAGGCAAACAGTCATGACACACAAAAAAATTAACTGCCATCAAACCAGCACTACATTTTCTAAATTAAATATTAAAGTCAGGCTGCTCTGGACTTACAATGTATCTGCAAAAATTAAAACCTGCAAAACTGTAACACAGTAATTCTAAAGTTTAATTTTATATCATTAATGTTGATTGTGGTCATTTATCTTCCAGTTTCTTCCTTGACAATAATTATTCTCTTCTACATTGTTTCTGTTATCAGGATTTCACTTAAAACTTTTTTATTACAAGAAGAGGCTTTCCCGGAGAAAAGGTGTCTTGCAAAAATTCTTAAAAACAAGGAATATTCTCTAAAAGAAGTACCAGACAACACAATTTACTTTTAACAGTTACTTTCATACATATTTTTGCCTGTCTACCAGAGTTGTCAAAAATGCTTTGATCATGTATCAAATTCTCTCAACTGACTCTCGGTCTGGAAAATTTATACATGGATAGTGGCATTTAATGGGTTAAGAGAGAATGATAATATTATATTTTGTCACTTACTACTGTCATCTGTCATGTACTCCACATCAAGAATCTTTCCACCACCCTTAATAAATCGATTAAGTAAATCAACCCAGCCAGCCTGATTCTAAAAACAAAGCAAAGATAAACCCACTAAACCCACTACAGAATAAATTGAGATTATCCTCAGATAAATACAGCTTTTGCTTAATAAAACTTGATATCAGGTTTAGGGCGTCCTTATTTTTTCTGAACCTTCTCCAACAAACAAATTATTCCCTTAAAATGTATCAGAAAAATTTCATCAATTATTATAGCCGCATAACAAATATGTTTTGATATTTTTATTAGTCAATAATATATTTTTGAAATAATATGTATTTAATCAACCAAACATTTTCAACAATTTTATTGTGGGACTCAAGGTTTTCAATCAATAACTGATTATAATCAATGACCATCACACCACTGGAAGGGGTTCCAATGTTAAGCTAGTGCTACTTTGATGAAGCATTCAGACTACCCTGTATACTTACTTTATAAGCATGGGCAAAGTAAATGTGTGTTTGTGGAATTGAAGAATCAGATTCAGCAAGTTCTTTAATTCCAAGGATAAATGTATCTTTAGGAGCATGAACCCAAGATCCTTCAGGAGCCATACTCACTCCATTGATCCTGTCACAAAATGATAAGTTCAATGAAACTTGTGGGCACCCTTGTGAGGTGCTTGTTTTTAGTCTTTAGTAATATTTGACCAGATGATTGTATTTTTGAGCATTTTCATTTTCAAAATTCATTTTTTCCCTGATTGTCTTAGGGCGAAGAATGGGCATTCATCATTTTTCGCATTCTTACTGCCAAGTATTGCTAAGAAATTGATTACGCATTGTTGTTGTTCATGTTGTGAATGTGCAATGTATCTGCAAGGATGTTGAGAACTTTGCCCCGTTCACTAGGGTTTTCAGATCAACGAAAACTACACTAATCAGTCAGTAGAGTCGATTGTATTTAATCACTTGGCTCACTTGTATTCACTCGTTACAGCAGTTGTGCAAGAGCTACTCTCAAAAACATGAAAAAGAACGCTTGATTTCATAATAGTATACATTAGATATGATTGGTTGTTACTAGGCGATAATCAGAAAAAGGTCAATCAATTCTTGCAGCTAAAGTGTTCATTGTCTCATAAAATCCAGACCTAATTTAAACATCTGTGTCACTATACTGTCACGTAACATGAAGTCTCCGACAAGGAGAACAAATGCATTTTGTAATAAGTAGTAATAAGTCAAATCCTTTTTTGCTACTTATGTATGCACTAGTGGCAATGAAGTAAATTAAGAACACCCGTTCAATTTAATTGGGACTCGTTCAATATAATTGGGACTAATTGCTGTTAGCTGTTATTGCCTGTTATCAGCCATTAGAGCCAATCAGGATCAAGATTATCTTTGGCTAAGAGATAGTCTAATGTTATCAGATAACAAACCCATTAGATCCAATGGCAAGCTTGTTAGTGAATAACGGGATAACAGCTAATAACAGCTAATAATACTTCACCCATTATACCCAATCACAAGTTTGTTAGAGAATAACGGGATAATATGCTACATTCCACAAGTGTGAATTTGACCCGTGAGGTAAAAATCTATTTCATGACAAGTCAGTGCATCATTCTCGAGTACATACTGGAAGGCTGCACGCATATATGCACATTTGATCCATTAGCTGCCGTGAACTCATCTAAAACTCTTTTTGGTTTATTTATCATGTTTTTGAAAAACGTCAAAATTTTACCGTTTTCAAATAACCGATAGGCTTTTTAACCCAGCACCTACGAAACAGTGGAATGTTCAAGAATAGAACAAGAAAATCAGAAAATTACTTTATGATCTTTGAAGAAGCGTAGCTCATAACAAGCATGCAACTATCCAACGATCTCTCGATAGTAGGTCAGTGATACAATAGTTGTGAATAGGAAACAGAACAAATCAACACTGCCCAGAGGAAGTTTATCAGTTATCAAGTGACAATTGCTGACATTCCAGCCCATTCCTGCACGCAAATTTCTTAGACAGTATAGTACACTAACACATTTATTTTCTTAAGTTAAAACGATCTTTACACTTCCCTTTATTTCACTTTGATTTAACGACGAAATCTGTTTAGAATAAGGGAACGCGTCCAAATATCGGCATCGGGTCAGACCGATGCCAATCAATTGGGCACCGATTTTTTCCGATTCTGTTGAATGTCGGAATCGGCAACGGGTCTCAAGTCTTTATCGGGCCAATTAACAAAGGTCATCAAAAATATCTCGCAGCTCAAATAACCCGTCACAAAAGCAAAAGCGTGAATGTTGGTTCTCGATGCACAAACACGTTAAATTTCCAATTTAAATGTTGTAGACCAGCAGATAAAGTGTTTCTTCTTATTATTAACATTATCTTTCTTATAAATGTGTCTTGTTTGAACCGAAATTTAACGTCACAGTTTTGAACATTTGTTTGTATTTACCTATGACAGAGTATGACCAGAAAATATTAAATTTGTGTATCAAAATGAGCACGAGAAGAAACAGCAGGTCATTCAACAACGCTGAAGAGCATCTTTTGAGTGAAAGACGGCGCAATGTACACTGCAAGTGTACGATCTCAAAATGATAATTTTAAAATAGCTTGGGCCCGTGCTAACCGGAACCCAAATCGCATGATGAAAGAAATCTTTAAAGGAATAACCAGTTTAGGACTTTAAGCGAAAAAAATACAAAGAAGTCAGAACATCCACGACCAAAATGCAAATGTTGTTACCATGTTGTGTTCTTTAACTGCTTAAGTTGCCACAGGAGAGAAGAGGACATCGTCTGAGAATCAGGCTGCAAGTTGTTTATTGGTTGCATATGAACTCAAAAACGTGACTGATGGAGGCGCTCAACTGGTTTTCTCTTTCTCGATTCTCTTTCCGCTATTAAATTGAGTCAAACTTATCGGATGTATGCAGAGTTTGCTTTAGTTGAACACTCCGGTAAAAAAAGGTTCTGCTTTTTGTCAAAAAGTCAGCCACCTTGAGTCAAGTGCAAATTTTAGTAAGCGCTGAGAATGGAAAGCAATTTCACGTGGCACCATCCTCAAGCTCACAGAACAGCTAAGTCGCTAAGCCATCCTCTCTTTGTATGAAACTTCGTTCCGTGTTTTCCGTGACTCACGAATGTGGGAATCTTTCAGTTCTTTTTGCTAATTCCCTGGAGACAATCTTAGGCCGCAATCTAATTGGTCGGTATTTTTTGCCGCAGATCGCATTGCACCTTGCGTTTAGGATCGTTGAATGAAAGTCGCAAATTTTCGTAAAAGTTTATCCCGTGGTTTTATATTATCCATGGGTTTGCTCTCGCTCCACTCGCTAGGAAACCCGTTGAGGTCTACTTGTAACAAGTCTATGCATCCAGTTGTGTTTCGAGAAAGTGAGTTCTAGTTGTGTTTTTGGATTGCATCATTTGTTAGAAAGTATCGAGTAAAGAACACACTACTCAGTATGGTGTTTTGTTTGCTATGTATCAACGAAGAACAGTGGTGTTTTGCGTCGTAATATTTAACTCCTTTTAATTTTCATAGAATAAATTTTATGGAGCAGCGTGGTGTCTGCGATCGACTGAAGGAAATACCTCTGCAAAACGTCGAAAATCACGTGTAGGCACGCATCAAATCAACAAACTAGAAACACAACACTGAACATACACTATTGCTATTTGTTATGGAGTAGGAAAAAGGTACAGTCGATACAAATTACTTTGGAGTGAAACGACTCTTTTGGTTTCGTGACACGCTTCATTTTATGTATAAATCGGCAAAGTTTTTATCGTAATCGGAAACGGCAACTGGTGCCTACAGATCGGTACCGATTCCGAACAATCGGAAAATTAATCGGGTCCGTTCCCATGATCGGGTTCCCTACCGATATTTGGACGCGCTCCCTAAAGAGAAAGGCAAACTTGATGTCACCTAAGGAAAAACCGCCGTTTCCGTTTTTCATTTTGCACTAAGCATCACTTTTTAAAGACATATTTGTACGTAAAATGTATTGACTTTTATACAGAAAAATTTTGAAAGGCCAGAAAAGTTTTACTCTGACACGTTTTGAGAAATCTTTTGTTTGACCATTATTCGGCGATCGATCAGATTTAAAGGGCACATTTTTACGCGCCCTAAAAAGTTGTTAGAAGAAAGTAGCGAGTATAAGTTATTTAGTCATACGGCGGCGGGACTTGACGGAACGTAAAGAGAGCGTTACAATCTAATGGCATAAGAGCGACTGCAGGCAGCTCATGACATGTCGACTTTTGCTAAGAGCTAGTCTAATGTTATCACATAGCAAACCCATTAGATCCAATGGAAAGCTTGTTAGTGAATAACGGGATAACAGCTAATAACAGCTAATAATACTTCACCCATTATACCCAATCACAAGTTTGTTAGAGAATAACGGGATAATATGCTACATTCCACAAGTGTGAATTTGACCCGTGATGTAAAAATCTATTTCATGACAAGTCAGTGCATCATTCTCGAGTACATACTGGAAGGTTGCACGCATATATGCACATTTGATCCATTAGCTGCCGTGAACTCATCTAAAACTCTTTTTGGTTTATTTATCATGTTTTTGAAAAACGTCAAAATTTTACCGTTTTCAAATAACCGATAGGCTTTTTAACCCAGCACCTACGAAACAGTGGAATGTTCAAGAATAGAACAAGAAAATCAGAAAATTACTTTATGATCTTTGAAGAAGCGTAGCTCATAACAAGCATGCAACTATCCAACGATCTCTCGATAATAGGTCAGTGATACAATAGTTGTGAATAGGAAACAGAACAAATCAACACTGTCCAGAGGAAGTTTATCAGTTATCAAGTGACAATTGCTGACATTCCAGCCCATTCCTGCACGCAAATTTCTTAGACAGTACACTAACACATTTATTTTCTTAAGTTAAAACGATCTTTACACTTCCCTTTATTTCACCTTGATTTAACGATGAAATCTGTTTAGAATGAAAAGAAAGGCAAACTTGACGTCACCTAAGGAAAAACTGCCGTTTCCGTTTTTCATTTTGCACTAAGCATCACCTTTTAAAGACATATTTATACGTAAAATGTATTAACTTTTATACAGAAAAATTTTGAAAGGCCAGAAAGGTTTTACTCTGACACGTTTTGAGAAACCTTTTGTTTGACTATTATTCGGCGATCGATCAGATTTAAAGGGCACATTTTTACGCGCCCTAAAAAGTTGTTAGAAGAAAGTAGCGAGTATAAGTTATTTAGTCATACGGCGGCGGGACTTGACGGAACGCAAAGAGAGCGTTACAATCTAATGGCATACGAGCGACTGCAGGCATCTCATGACATGTCGACTTTGAGATAACTATCAACGGCTTTGAATTCTTTCCACGTGCGAGAAAACAAAAAGTATGCAGACAGGACCAAAGCGGGAATATGTTATGGCGATAATGGCCGATAATCAAGGCACCATCAATTGTGATGAATGGTGAACAAATCTACTCTTTTTGCTGAACATTTTCTGACAGAGAGAAACGGAATTTTTCAGTGGCCTCAAAAAAAGGACTGGGATAAAGTAGCGCCAGAATTCATATTCAGTCGCAATGTAGAGGTCATTGACGATAGTAAGAGTGTGCAAGTGAAAAACTTGACATCAATAAAAAGTAAATTTGGCGCTTTTTGTGGCAAATATTTTTATCTATTCCCTGTATTTGAAGTATTTTTGGCGTTTTCTGTGTGCATGTTGCGGAACTGAAGAAGACGCATAGGGCCGGTTAAAAATGAGCCGGTGCTGTAAGTGGCTGAATCTGTCCAGCTCAAATACGTATGAAATGTTCTTTACCATAGTTAAAGTCAAGCATGCACACTTATTTCTAGATTTATTTATCCATTAATAAAGGATTGTCGAGATTTATCGTGGTTGTAACCCGAGACAGCTGTACCTCCGATTTATGATTTTGTTAGGCCGGCATAGCATTATTTGAAAGACTCTGCAAAATATGTTGGCGCTTCAATTTTTACCCTTGGTTTATTGAAGTGTTTTTTCTTTTGTTTGTGAGTGTGGCAATCTGACAATAATTTTTGTTGCAAAGTTTCTAGAAAATTTTAAAGTGCTAAAATCGCAAAGTGGACCAGTAGAACAATTATGTACAATGATTTTTGTACCTATATTAATTTACACACTGATTCACGATATGTCACGGTTTTACTTCCATTTAATAGAATGCTTAATGACTACACGTTTTAATCAATGTGATCTATTGTAGCATATTTCACGCGAATAAAACATTTGATAAGAAAAGTTGTTAAAATTCGCGATTGGGGGAGAACAGAGATAAGCCGAAAAATGTTGCCCGCTTGACATTTCAAGCCTGAGTCACGGTTTTCTTATTGTCAGCAAATTCCATGCTCGGAAAAATAAAGTCTAAAACAATATGTAGTATACTTTAAATCATGCTTACTTGAATAAAACAATGTATATACAAAATTGATTAAATGCAAGAATACGGGAATATCAAATAGTGAAGAGCGTACAGCCGGAAAATGTTGATTAGCCGGTTGTTAAAGTTAACGAGAGCAGAAAGGGCTATTGTGTGCGTACCCACTCTCCCACATAAGCCGTCCTTTCATGTGAACATGGAGAATTCGTAGGGAAATCTTTTGCTCTGGGGCAAGTCCAAAAATGAGAGCAGAAAGCGTAGTCCTCGAAATTTTTACTTCCGAAAGGTGTCGTAAACGAAACTCACTTCCGGAATTAAGAGAGACGAGAAAAAGGGCCATTGCTGGACGCGAAAAGGATACAATACTTTTTGTGATATATTCTTCCAGATGAAAATGAAGTAACACCTGAGGTAAGCGTTTTATATTATTTTGGGGGGGCATTATAATATCTCGATTCTTAAGAGAACTTTTCGTAAGAAACTTTGAGTTTTGTACTGCACCTTCGAACAGGCTTCTGTTTCCATTACATCGATTTTACACCAGTAGACGTGACGAGAATTAAAGTTGGCGCAAAGGTACCGACTTTGGCGCCAAAGCGGATAACGAAAGTAATTGTTTAATATGAATGGGAATGAAAGGGTTTTGTGACAAGCATGACTGAAATAGAGAGTGCGTTTGTTTTGTAATACCGTTTAAAATGTTCAGCAAAAAGAGTAGATTTGTTCACCATTCATCACAATTGATGGTGCCTTGATTATCGGCCATTATCGCCATAACATATTCCCGCTTTGGTCCTGTCTGCATACTTTTTGTTTTCTCGCACGTGGAAAGAATTCAAAGCCGTTGATAGTTATCTCAAAGTCGACATGTCATGAGATGCCTGCAGTCGCTCGTATGCCATTAGATTGTAACGCTCTCTTTGCGTTCCGTCAAGTCCCGCCGCCGTATGACTAAATAACTTATACTCGCTACTTTCTTCTAACAACTTTTTAGGGCGCGTAAAAATGTGCCCTTTAAATCTGATCGATCGCCGAATAATAGTCAAACAAAAGGTTTCTCAAAACGTGTCAGAGTAAAACCTTTCTGGCCTTTCAAAATTTTTTCTGTATAAAAGTTAATACATTTTACGTATAAATATGTCTTTAAAAGGTGATGCTTAGTGCAAAATGAAAAACGGAAACGGCAGTTTTTCCTTAGGTGACGTCAAGTTTGCCTTTCTTTTCATTCTAAACAGATTTCATCGTTAAATCAAGGTGAAATAAAGGGAAGTGTAAAGATCGTTTTAACTTAAGAAAATAAATGTGTTAGTGTACTGTCTAAGAAATTTGCGTGCAGGAATGGGCTGGAATGTCAGCAATTGTCACTTGATAACTGATAAACTTCCTCTGGACAGTGTTGATTTGTTCTGTTTCCTATTCACAACTATTGTATCACTGACCTATTATCGAGAGATCGTTGGATAGTTGCATGCTTGTTATGAGCTACGCTTCTTCAAAGATCATAAAGTAATTTTCTGATTTTCTTGTTCTATTCTTGAACATTCCACTGTTTCGTAGGTGCTGGGTTAAAAAGCCTATCGGTTATTTGAAAACGGTAAAATTTTGACGTTTTTCAAAAACATGATAAATAAACCAAAAACAGTTCTAGATGAGTTCACGGCAGCTAATGGATCAAATGTGCATATATGCGTGCAACCTTCCAGTATGTACTCGAGAATGATGCACTGACTTGTCATGAAATAGATTTTTACATCACGGGTCAAATTCACACTTGTGGAATGTAGCATATTATCCCGTTATTCTCTAACAAACTTGTGATTGGGTATAATGGGTGAAGTATTATTAGCTGTTATTAGCTGTTATCCCGTTATTCACTAACAAGCTTTCCATTGGATCTAATGGGTTTGTTATGTGATAACATTAGACTAGCTCTTAGCCAAAGATAATCTTGATCCTGATTGGCTCTAATGGCTGATAACAGGCAATAACAGCTAACAGCAATTAGTCCCAATTATATTGAACGAGTCCCAATTAAATTGAACGGGTGTTTAAGGTAACAGGATGAAAGAAAATCGGGTTTTAGAATGGTAAATACAGTAGAACTCCGGTAACTCGATTGCGAGATATTGGGGTTCCACTGTCAGTATATAAATTCACTCTTTCTTGGTTTGGGTCAAGTGACACTAAAATTATTTACCTTGCATACTCTTCATCTTTGAAAATTCTATCCTTTGAATTTTCAACTGTGATTTGAAACCCTAAAATATGACAAAACAAAAACAAATACATGTGAAATAGTTTTCTTTTTAATACACAGTCATATGACAAGTAAAATGAAAATTAGCAGGTTTTACAAAAAACCAACTTATGGTCAATGATATTTCGTTTAAAAGTGTGAATCATTTTTAAATCGTGTTGTTCTTATATCAATTAGAAAGGTCAAGAGAAGGTCAACCATGGCCTCACATTAACTCACATGAAATGGTCTACTGCGATTGTTTAATCTCTCCTACAGGGTACATCTACATACCAAACGAGTGCAAGTTGTTTTAAAAAAAATCACATGAAGAATAAAAGTTATCAGCATTAATAAAATTCAGTGTTATTCACATGTAGTTGTAATAACTCTGTCAGTTATGTATTAGTACTCTTGCCCTACTGATTTTGATGAGGCTAGATGGCACATCAGGCCAAAATGGCCTCACACAAGAAATAAACTGCTTTTAATACCCTTATGGGTGCTACGTGTGCGTACATGTTCGGGTGTCGATATTTCGTCACTGCATAAACACAGCGAGAGTACAGTGACAAGGAGCCATATTTAATAATGCATATGCATCGTTACACAACAACGTTCCTTTATTTTCGCCAGAAAGGCAATGTTCCTTTTCTTATTCCGAGGAATTGCAATAGTGCCTTTCGCTCGTCTGGAACTGCAGTTTAATTGGAGATTGATCACATAATTTATCATGCACAGCCAAGTCTCTTAAACAACTCTCCTTCCCACACCTTTAACAGTGAATATATACACATCACTCTTCCAAATCGCAATTCCATTTATAATCAATGATTCATTCAATGTATGTATCGTGTCTTACCAGCTGAAACAAGCTCTTTACACTTAGCTGGAGTCAGGGCGGTCCGGTGTTCGCTCATCTTGGGTTCAGATCGTAACCACAAGTGAACAGCCATTATTGATCGTCTTTATGGACAACAATTCAAAAGGATTAGTAGATAATACACTGGAAATAATTTTGAACTTCAAAATTACGGACAAAAGGAAGAAATAAACGACAAAACGCCATCAGTCTGGCGCTCAGATCAGACGCGACTAAAGAGATGATGAAATCAACAAGGCAACGACTGTTGTGGACTGGAAACTAGCAATCTTTTTTTCTCGGAAAACTCAGTTTTCTCAGCTCTTTCAAACAGGTTTCACTTATCTGACTTTAAAACAATCTCTGAGGTGCCTTTAATGTACTACAAATGAATTATAAGCGGCGCTGTCAAATGCTTTGTAATTTTTAAGAAACTGCTTGTAAGTTTATTGATTTGTTAAACTTCTTTTACACTATTGTTTATTTTTTTATTGGTGTCTGTTACCGCAAGAGACTCCTCATGGCCAGGAAAAACATGTCAGCCAACTGTCAGTCGACTGACCCACAAAAATACCTAAAAAAAATTAGACAAGAACAGGACATAATTATCTACTGAAGTTTTGGCAAAAAAAGTTTCAAAATGCTTTCGACATCTGTCATACAAACTTTCAACTGTACTATAATAAGATTGACGAGTACATGTTTCTCCGTAATTCGGGACAATATTCGTGAACATAGAAAAATGATGGTGAATTTTAAGCCTGGTGAACATATGAGAAGATGTTTATTTTCAGTCAGTGTCACTTGAACCTAGTTTTGTTAGCCTGAGTAGCATGGCGGTTTTGGTTGGGCGCGCAAAGGCGAGCAAGGGTAGAGGAACTGCGAGGCGTTCGCGAGCGTTTTTGCGGCTTCACCGCTCAGTAGTGCTCCCGACAAAACCGCCATGCTACGCAGCTACGTTTTGTAGCCTGCAGCAGGCGCTTGGGAGTAACTAGTCCAAGCGCCTGTTACGCAGGCTACATAGGGGGCGGGAAACGAATTTCATAGGCGTTTCGCCACTAAGGGCAGGCGCTCCATCTTCCCTCGCGTGTTTCTCTCGCGCGTCCCGTTCTTTTCTGAGCCCATTACTTCCAAGCGACTGCTACGCAGCTACTAGTTTTATGGTCTTCGCTCCCACGCGTCTCCTGTAGCTTAGTACTAGTAGCCAGAGTGTCATAGGTTCGACTCCTATTGGGAATACTAGGATTTTTTTTCCTTCCCTCCTGTGTCACTGACTGAGTCGAACATCTTTTTCAAATATTGGTGAACTATGTATACATTTAAAATAACTGCTATGTTCACACTATACCGGATTTATTGCTGTAAATGCACCGTCTTTTAAATGACTAAATCACAAAACCAGAACGTTTCCTCGACGTTTTCTCAGCCATAAAATGCGCCTCTTAGCTCTATTGGGAACTTTGTAAACTGAGTTGACAGATTTCCCTACCCTATACTTCAACTAGTGAAATTCCAAGGTACTCCTTTCGTTTAGAGCCCCCCCGTATAGGCCGTTATAGGAAGTACGCCGCGGGGCTCCGTCACAGAAATCACCGTTCTTGTGTGTGAACGAAGTCCTTCCCGGTATAGTTTTCGTGGCGACGCTAAAGCCATCCGGTACAGTGTAAACATCGCCTTAAATGCGTTCTAATAAATGCATTGCGATCCACATATTAGCACATGTTGTTTGCCATGCAATTCCTATGTTTGTTTCGCTGTTTTGCAGAAAACCGTTGTCCGCGTTTAGAGCTTTCGACTTACCTCACAGGTCACTTTGGTCCAAGCCATCGCCAATCTTGCGTTACTTTGAATAATTAGGATTTGTATGGTGAATCGAGGTGAAACGATTGTTTCTGTAACCTACGAATGTGAAAGGATTTAAGTAAAAATAGGCTAACCTCACACAAGTTGTGTGATTCATTGTTCTTTCCTGTGAGGTTCCCGCGTCGATTTATGGCCATTTTATGCATTTTAATTCAGCTGGTTTGTTCTCTCTATAATCCTTTCTTTGTAGACATAACAATAAAATGCATAAAATGGCCTTTGATGTCCCTTGTGCATCTTAAACGTTCCAACATAGTCGGACTAGAGTAAAATGCTGTGAGAGGGGGTCTAAGATTTTTCGTCCTTATCAAAGAAAGTTTAGCCACTTGCAAATGACAGAGTAGAGGAAGCACATTCTCTTCAGTTATTTTGAGACCCCGAGTGTTGGTCGGGCAGCGAATAAAACACTCCACAGTCTCAGTCAAACAACTCAGTACACTAGGCGGTGCGTAGGCTTCTTTCTCTCCATTTTCAACCCCACAGTTCTACTAATTTGCATGCAGATTGAAGGCTGGGGGCTAAACCTTTAATTCTGGGTCCTAATCAGTGATGTAATGTGTAACTCATATGAGAACGCCAGTGTTACGTTGACGTCAAATATTTTATTGTCTCTACCATTTTAATTTTCGCGAGCCAGCAGCGTCTGATCCTGTTCTTATGCATATGTTCCTGTTCACGTACATAGCGTTGCCTTATCTGTTGTTTTTCTTATTTTTCACTGAGAAGAGCCTCGGCTTCTGCCGATTTTAGGTCAAACATTTTCTTGGCATTCACCCACATGGGATAAGAATCAACCTGTGCAAAGCAAAGCAACAAAATTATTCCTAAGAACTAATACAAGATGACTGGCTTTAAAAAGTCCGTGATATAAGCCAGTCTCTCCGACGCAATGATCTTCCCTAAACTAGGAGTTCGAAAAACACATAGGCTTTGACTGGACCGCCAGAAGCCTCTTACCTCTGTATATATTTCGGCTGTAATGCGCCGCTGGGAGAATGGAGGGGGAATTTCATGACGGGGGGGGAGAGGGGGGGTTGGAGTGCTCTTCGGCTGCGCGCGCCTACGCGCGTAACTAGCGGCAAGGCCCCTTGTGCCCCTTGGGCGGCTCCCAGGTCACAACACCCGTTCTTCTCACTGCTGTACTGCTGAAACAAAAAGCACTTTCTTACGCTAGATCCCGCCCGACACGCAGAGTAACCCCATAAAATACACGTACTCGAGAAGTTTCTCAGGCTCAGCGGTTTCAAAGGCTTTATCAACGCCTGCGATAAACTTTCCGAGTTATGACACCCTGGTGTGGACTTATTCTTTGATGTCTATATCCTGTTTAACTGAAGGTGTTCAGGTACATTCACGTCAGACCAATTCAGCTGTCACCTTTTACCTAAGTCCTTTGCAATAATTTGAATAGCCTGCGTCGCAGGCGTTAAAAGGGGACGGGGAAGGGGAAATCTGGGCGCGCGCTAATTCCCTCTTCCCTTTCGAACGCCTGCCACGTAGGCTATAATTTTAACGTCATCCAGCCCATAGGCCAAGCTAAGCCACGCTCAAAAGGTGATATTTGTCTGCTTGCGAACTCACGCAAGAGAACAGAAAAGCCGCAAAACATAAAAGTTCTCTTGGCTCATTTGATCATGAATGTTTTACTTTCCACTCATAATCAAAGCCGGGAGATAAGAAGAAACTTTTGGTGTATTTTAACATAGTCAAAGCACACCTGAGTTAATTTGAGCAAATGTGGAGTAGAGTCATCTGCAAATCTTGTGCTGCTTTCTGTCGGCGATAAGGAGGGAAAATGATCAATGGCAACAACATCTAAGGATTTTTTGATGACTTGCTAAAAATACAAAGCAAGACAACATAACGGTTAGTTTTTTGCGATTTTTTTCTTCAAGTTACCCGTTACGGTAGTTTTACCAAATTGAATTCAAACCCTTAAAAATCAGCTGAAAAATAGCAACAACTCTCGTAAACTAGTTTCAAAAGTCGCGGTTATTAAATTACAACCCAAATCCTGACAAAGTTGCTAACCATCGCCAATTGAAAGACCACTTTCCCAACCTCGTCCCCAGGGCGCTTTTCCCTGGCGCCCCATCCCCAAGGCCAGGGAAAAGCGCCGTGGTGACGAGGTTCATTTTCCCCTCCCTTCTTGCAATGTTGTTTATAGTAACACAGTTTTACAGGAAGTAACATCCATCAAGGATTCTTACAGGAAAAAAGCAAAGATGACAATGGAGGTTCTTAACTCAATGGAAAATGTTAAGTGTAACGAGGTGGCAGGTGCAATGTATGCGTTTCCAAGGGTAACACTTCCAAAGCAAGCTATCGAGGCAGCCAAGGTATCATGTCTTGTTTCCGGCCTTGATTTCTAATGCTGCACTGCAGAATACTGTCAGTAATGGATATCCTAGGTGTACGGTAATCCAGATTCCGGAACCCGGGAATTTTTTTCTTGTAGACTGATCCGGAATCAGTTCTGGGGTTTGAAATACGGAATTCAGACCCGGTTGATCAAAAGATGGATAGCGCTATCTACCGGATAAATCATTATCCAGTGGAAAGGTACAAAGCGAAACCAATTGCACTATCCACTGGATAGGGATTTATCCGGTGGATAGCGTTATCCACCTTTTTAACAACTGGGGCCTGCTCTTTATAAGAAGCCCGGAATCTTGCTAACGATTGGAATCTGGAATCCACGTTTCACTGAAAAGGAATACGGAATCCAGTCCCTGCCATCGGGGATCTACAGCATAAAATCCGGAATCCACAACGTGCGATCCAGAAGCCAAGATTCTCGTCGATGCACCTTTTATTAGAAGAATGCCACCCCGTTTCCCGCCGTGTCAGTTTTCATAAAAGGCGTTCTTCGGTTAGAAAAAGTGAAAAGGACACTATATGCTCCCATCTTACTCAGGCTGCTGACAATGTCCTGCGAAAGTTAAAATTTCACTTTCTCAACTTTCCATATTTCATTGCTAAATTCCATATGTCGTATCGATCTAGTAACAGCTCCCAGTAAAGGGTTTAGCGAGGGATTCTTTGAAATACAGATATTCCCCTCACAATGAAAGTATGTATGTGATCTGTTTGGTGAGCGAAGTGAAAGGATTTTGGGTGGACGAAAGTAATGTGTCGATATTTTTTGAGTTTACTGAGTTGTTTGTTTTGTCATTGTTATTTAGGCCAAGGAAATTCCACCTGACGAGTTTTACTGTTGGCAGGCGCTGG